CAGTAGGGTCCCCTATTCCTGATAGCAGTACATGTATACTTTAGTTATAAAGTTTTACATCTTAATAAAAGACTTCTGTGTTTAAAAAAATCTCAGTCAAAACCCATCTTTAAAAAATTCGGTTTACGGAGTATGTTGACCTCTCGTCACCCTTCTAACGGGACAAATCCTATTGCTCTCTGTTGTTGATCAAAGAAATTTACAACTTTAATTGAAGATTTCAGTAATACATGTATATCTCTTTTAAGAAGACACACAAGCTGAAAGAACTTAAAAAAGGGCTGACCTACTTTCAAAACTTTTTTTCAATAAATTAAATATGACAGTGTTATACAATATGTGTGTGCTGTCATCTGACACTGATTTGTGATACGGGGACCCAGGTACCTGACAAAGTATCTACCCTACATCAGACTCTGTGGTATGTGTTGTTTAGGGAGGGAGGTATAAAATCCCTCATTATCAGCTGATAAGGGGGTGCATACCTGTTCTATACCTGTAAAATAATACATGCATTGCCTGGAACATGTCAACAGGTAGGCCTTCAAATTCTTTTGATACATACCCTAGTTTTATGTTTATGTTGTTCTTTGTATGACTAGAGGAAAAGGTAATAGTATAAGATTGATTTTGTTCTTTTTAATTGTCAATTTATTAATGAAAATATTTTTTACCATTTTGTATGAACTATGAGGTGTTTGAAATTTTACATGATTATGAGTTTAATGTCAAGTTGTTATGACCTCTATTAATGAAAAAAATTTCAACCATTTTATTTTTTTTATTTTGGGGTCACCTTGAAAGTTGAAATTAATACTTGCAATAAGTATGTTGTGAAATCCCTACTACTTTTGTCATCAACGGTGTAGGTACATGTATACAGTGTATTAGAATATAAATGTCAAACATTAAGAAAAAAATTAACCTTTTATCATTTGGTTTACATTTCTTTCTCCTTTCAGTACACTTGTAATTTATCTGAATCTATGATAAATTCATTATCTTCTATCTTAAGTTCATGTTCAGTTCCATGTAAAGAACTATAATGAAATCAATCAACTTCAACTCCATGTATAGCAGAATGTCTGACAAATTGTTCAAGCTCAACCCTTAGTATGTAAAGCAGATTGTCTCAGCAAATTGTTCAAGCTTAACTCTTTGTAAAGCAGATTGTCTCTGCAATTTGTTCAAGCTCAACCCTATGTATAGCAGATTGTCTGACAAATTGTTCAAGCTCAACCCTATGTATAGCAGATTGTCTGACAAATTGTTCAAGCTCAACCCTATGTATAGCAGATTGTCTCTGCAAATTGTTCAAGCTCAACTCCTTGTAAGGCAGATTGTCTCTGCAAATTGTTCAAGCTCAACCCTTTGTAAAGCTGTCTTTGCAAAGTGTTCAAACTCATCCCTATGTATAGCAGATTGTCTGACAAATTGTTCAAGCTCAACTCTTTATAAAGCAGATTGTCTCTGCAAATTGTTCAAGCTCAACTCTTTGTTTAGCAGATTGTCTCTGCAATTTGTTCAAGCTCAACCCTTTGTAAAGCTGTCTCTGCAAATTGTTCAAGCTTATCCCTATGAATAGCATGTCTCTGCAAATTGTTCAAGCTTATCCCTATGAATAGCAGATTGTCTGACAAATTGTTCAAGCTCAACCCTATGTATAGCAGATAGTCTGACAAATTGTTCAAGCTCAAACCTATGTAAAGCAGATTGTCTGGCAAATTGTTCAACTTTAGATTGTCTGACAAATTGTTCAATTTTAGCCCCATTTACAACACTGTTTGATCAACATTAGCCCATGCAAGTACAATGCTCAGGTCAACTTTAGCCCCATGTATATACAGCAGATTGCCTGGCAGACTTCCCATGAGCTGATACAGCACTATCTAGCAAATCCTTGTTGTGTCTGGATTTTAGTACCAATTGTCTAAAATTTTGAAATTAGGTTTGTTCTATGAAATAGTATTTGTTTATTGAGAGCCTGTTCATACTGTATTAAATGGTGTTTTAAGTTTGATGTTAACAATTCATATAATGTTGAAGTGTTTTTCCAGACAGTGGGTGCCAAATGCCGCCCCATGCCTGTGTATATAAGGAAACAATTGCAAGATACACTAATCCCTCTAAACTTACGATAGATTTAACCACTGTTTACATTTTAAACGTGATTGTTTCAGGGCCAAGTAAATGTGAACAGCTCTCTCTTACACAAAAGATTTTTAAAGCATAGAAATATTTAAGCTTGTTATTTTAAGGATTGAAAAAGAATGAACAAATGATTCAGGTGTTAGAAATATGTAAAGTGATTGTGATTTGTGGTGAAAGTAATAGATACATGACAGATATATTCTGTGGTCATGGCCTTGGGTACTAGGATCTAAGTCTCTTTGAGTGACTCAAGTCTTGAATTGTCTGGTCTAAGCATGTGCTGTCGGCTGTTGTACAACTTTTTTACGGGCCTCGGAATTCCTTTATATAGCCGCGGTTTGTAAATATAGAATTCCTTTGCGTGTAACTGCACGAAGTGAAATCATGTGTTTTGCACTCTTTCAACTTAAATTTTAGTGATTTTAATAAATTGTTACCTAGACAGTGATTTGCAAAAAATAAATGACAAATTTTCTAAAATGAAATTTTTTGTGGTTTTCAAATATCCCATGTTTGACTTGCACATGCAATTGATTTGAAAAAAAAAGTGTTAACAGAATCGGGTCTCATTTCCTATTTGTTGTGTATTGGAGATATTTTGAGGTTGTTTTAGGTTTTGAGGTTGTTTTAGGTAATTAAGTCAGATACACTGATAAATTATCTCTCTCCCATTCATTAGCCCAGATTTTGAATTTAAGGACCCTGGGGCTGTCATAATGGAATTCTTTTTGCGACATTTTTTACATTGTTTAATTTCCGTAAGAATCTATTTCGTTAGGCAGAATTAATAAATTCTGCATATGTCTAGGATGTTTCTTAATCCCTTATGTATTTGTTGTACATTGTATTGAGGCTATATAGGTAGCATTCCTTGTGATGTACTAATAGAATATTAACCTAGAATATAAAGTAGCTGGAATATTTTTCATATAATTATATACACACATCTCCTATATATCTACAGTTAAAACATTTTGTTCAGATTGTCAAAATTTGTAATGTAGTGGTTAAAGGATTATGCCAAAGAATTAAAATTCCTCAGAGAGTTGTTGAACTTTTGTAGCTCTTTTGTTACTTTCAGGTGTTGGGCAAGATTTGATTAATTTTAATTATAATGTATACCACAGAGGCGTGCACCTAGCTATTATGATATCCCTAACTGTATAGGGCCGTGAAATCAATATCGAACTTTTTGGATATCTGTCTCGGGGACAAGATTTTTTAATAATTAAATCTCAGAATGCTCTGTAATCCATCTTTTGGGGAATTCCTTGCTAGCTTTTCTTTTGTCCACCAGAGAAAGAATGAATTTAATGTGGCATTAATTTTGACACTTTTCTTGTTGGTTAATAGTATTTGCTTCATTTACTATTTGTTGTAGGGGTATTTTGTTTACTTGTATGTGTGTATTAGATTTAACATTTTCTTCTGAATCAGCGTATTTGGGATGTAGCAAATATTACCAAAAATTTATGGAATTAGAACTATCTTATTTTAATTGATATGGATATAACCAAACCTGAGGGTAAGAATGCATAGTACTTGCAGTGACATGCGGTATATTAATACTTGTCAATGCATGTCACTTATTCAGAGTCATAAAGAAAAAACAAAAAAATGTTAAGTATTCTATTCAGGTGTAAACAGTAAGCAGTTGATTACCCGTACGGTTAATAAACACATGAAAACTGTTCTTTTGTTTTGTAATAAAAGGTTGAAAAGTTCGTGAAAACTGCCATATCTATCAAAATCTTCCTTGTATGGTAGCTTTATAACACTAAATTCTTTGAATTCTTAAAGTTTTAAAAATAAATTTTGTGATTGAGATTTAATGAATCAGAGTGTCGTAGGAGTTAGAAGGTCCTGGCTTCTGACTTATCTGAAATCCAAGATCTCCCAGATCAAAGATTTTTTGTAGAAGACTTTAAGAGGTATAAAAACAACAAAGAACCATGAAGTCATGTTTAAATATTCAACTCCTAATGGTTTTTCCGTTTATCATTCATTCATTATTCTTTACTTAAAACTGAATGAAGGCTGGTGATAAGACATTTATGTACTTTTGATGATTTATGTACCAATGATGCGACATGTTTTCATGTATGTGGTGTGGTTTAGTAAAATGTCTCTAAATCACGGATATATATTGAACTTAAAAACCATATGCAACAGATATTTCACACACACCCAAAAAAATGTACAAAACTTTTTAAAAATAATTTTCTAGAGGTACTGTGAGGTTCGATGAGCTCACTGAATTGATAAGATGCCTCCCATATGGTTATAACTGGTGTGGGTAAAAAGAATGCCCATGTTTTCCTGTGGCAAATTCAAATATCATGTGACAAAAACATTTAAGTATTTGTAAATATTAAAATTAAAGGAGGTGCACAATGGCAATTTATGTATAATCAAAGATTCTGTGAAAGTTTCATCAAATTTCATTCAGTGGTATGAGAGAAACCTGTCTTTACTATGCTGAACATTCTTTTTCCTGTATTTTTTCAGACGAGTTCCATGTGGATCCAGTTTCAAAGTAAGTAGGCGTTATACAAACCAATGACGACATACAGGGTCTTTAACCATACTCAATTATTCTCTAGGTCAAAGGATGAATGGAATTATGACCTAACAAGGTGTAACTGACTCTTAGATATAAAGATAACAAAAAAAATATGCCTGTTTTTTTTTTTTAAACTTCATACAAGATATATACCCTACCGTTTGTCAAGCGGGGGTGTCAATAAAAATATATTTTCTGGAGATGCCAGATATGAAGGTGAATAGTTCAGAATGTTAAAATTGATTCTAATTTTATTGAATTGAAAAGATGTCTTTGTTTCTTTCAGGTGGAAGCCAAGCTAGAAGTGTAGATGCTGACCATTGATTATGTAAGTGGACAATGTGGGCAACACACCTACCCCCAAAAATTCCTGTCGTTTAATTTTCGTTATTTTTGTATATTTAGCATAAATGAATGCCCAGTTGACTTACAAAGTGGGCAAATTCAAATACAGTATCATATTTAAAACAAGACGAAAACATTTAAGTATTTGTATAATATTAAAATTAAAGGAAGTAATGATGACATGTTTTAAAAGAGTTGACAATTTAACTTGAAAGTTTATAATCACCAACATATCTGTCTCAATCACTTTAAGATGAAATGATATTTGGTTGATTAAACTAAATCCATGCAGTTTGAAACCTGTCTTTACTATGCTGAACATTCTTTTTCCTGTATTTTTTCAGACGAGTTCCATGTGGATCCAGTTTCAAAGTAAGTAGGCTGACAGATTATACAAACCAATGACTCTAATACCCCAATACAGGGTCTTTAACCATACACAATTATTCTCTAGGTCAAAAGATGAATGGAATTATGACCTAACAAGGTGTAACTGACTCTTAGATATAAAGATAATAAAAAAATATGCCCCATGTTTTTTTTTTTTCTTTAATTTTATTCATTAAAAAAAATGGTGTTTGTTCAAAAAAATGGTGTAATTGTTCACTGCGTATAACACAAGATTTACGGAGTCATGCCATTAGTCAGTCCAATACTACGTTATGTCAAGATGTAGGTGTCTGTGTCAATATTTTGGAAAACATAAAGTCAAAAAAGGACGAACAATAATGTTATCATACTTTTTATACAGCTGATTGGTGTCATATGACTGTGTTTTCCTTTTTTGTGGGTAAACATTGTTTAGAGCTTACGAGAGGATCAGTACGGGGTTCTAGTGGGAAAAACTAAAAAATGAGAATTCATGGGTAAAATTTTTTAAACTAAAAATGTTTTCACACATATGGTGAAATTGACTTTCCAGACATGATTATCTTTATGGGAAATGTTGTGGGTGAAAATTATAATACGTGTTTAATTTTTTCCTCAAATTATGAACCAGGAATTATCAATTGTAAGCTTGCCAAATTTACTGTAAGATTAGCTAGGAAATCAACATTGAATATGGGGAAAGAGTTAAGTTTGAGTATGACATAAAAAATACATTTAAACAAAAAAATAATGAAATCTTGCAGAGTTGGAATCTAATTTTTTAGGAATTTTTATAAAGGATTGGAAACTATTCATTATATGAATTCTTTCTGAATCCAAAAGTATTATTACATTTCATATAATTTTGAAATAAACAGACCATTTCAATATCTATGGGTTTTTTTTTCAGGAGACTGATCCGTGACAGGAAATCAGCAGACAGGAAGTCTTTGGACAGAAAGGCCGGAAAACCCGAAAAAGCTCCGGAGTTTGTTACGAAGCCCCGGCGACAGTTTACAGATGAGGGTCAGACCGCCAAATTCAAAGCCTCATATGAAGGCCCTCCCGGCACTAAACTGCTGTGGACCTTCAATGGAATGGTGCTGTCAAACGATACCAAACACAAGGTAATGTCTACAACATAGAGCCACCAGACTCTGTACTGTTTATAGGTTATTTCTAGGCGTTCAATCTGGCTACTCGAAATGATGTCCCAGTGCATGAATTTTTCAAATCATCTTTGAAAGACATATTAAATATACTGATTGGGTGATTTATGATATTTTTGGATTTCAAATGAGGAAAGATATTAAAAATGGGTGTTTTATTATGCTATAACTAAAAATTATTGAACTGAAATGCTTAAATTCTTGAATTGAATTAAGCTCCTTAGATAAGCTTCTCAAATTTATGTGTTTTAATTTTGTGGATGGGTAAATAGTTTTTTAAAGTATACATAATGTGGTTTTCCTTTATATTATGTCTTGCACCTAAATTTAGTAGCAATGAGGCGTATCCTCTTATATTACACACAACTCCAATTAAAGCACAATTCACAGGCTCTTGAGAGTCATTTCCTTGCAAACATGAAGTTATGAGAAGTGAGAAGTACATGCTGCTCCTATGAAACTCTCAATGTAATATACAATCAACACTCCATTTCTCCTTTGATGTACATGAATTGCCCATACAGTGCACTTTCACTTTAACAAGCTACTGTGTGATTTTACAGATTTACCAAGAGAAAGATGTCCATTGGTTGGAGGTTTGCGACGTGACAAAGGATGACACGGGATTGTACACTTGTACCATACAGAATGCGACAGGGAGTTCTCAGGCCTCGGCAGAACTAGAAGTGCTCGGTCAGTAAAGCTCAGTAGCTTACCGATATCTTTGTTTTTTGTAGATGTTTTTCAGTTTTATTTGCTGACTTTGAAGTATAAAGACTTTCAAAATGTGATCAATATTTAAAGATATTTTATCCTGTATGAAATATTTGTAAATCAGTTTACTTTAAATTCTTTAAAAAGCTGCAAATTGTTTGAAGCAAAAAAAATTTTAATTTCCAAAATTTTTTAACAATGTTTTGTATCGTCCATTACAGTGAAACCCAAACCAGTGTCCAAGAAAGGCTTTGTGGCTCCTGAAGTGGACATTCCTCTCAGTGACCAGTACATCACCCCCGACCAGAAATCGGTCGTCCTGGAGTGTAAATTCTCAAGTAAGCTTCATAAAGTGGGCCCACTCATAACATTAACAGGTTCTCTTTATGGGATATATTTTTATGTATATAAATTATATCTCTTGAGTTGATTTATTGTGTGACAACATGTCATAATAAGAATAGACTAAAGAAGGAGGTACATAACTTTTTATCTCCTCTCTTCTCTTTCGTAGATGCAATAGATGCCAATACAACCTGGTACAAAGATGGACGCAAACTGAATTCTGGGTATTTTGCCAAACAAACCTTTGATGGTCGTTTAGCTCGCCTGACCTTAAACAAAGTCTCGGAGAGAGAGATGGGGACATATGAATGTGTGGCCTCTAACAGTGGTGGCGAGGCTAAAACCTGGGCTCAGTTGTCTTACAAAGGTAAGGGAGGGGGACCCAGAGGCAGAGAGGGAACTGTTGAGAAAAAGATTATATTTAGGTTTGGTTGTGTGGTTTGAATGCATGCATCTGAATTCAGGGAGGGTATTGGATTGCAGTACACTGCAAAATCTATGATGCAAAAAAAAAAGAATTTGCTAAGAAAGCATTTATTTCATAAGGGTTATTTCCACAAGTCTTTATTTGAATAAGGTGTCAGAACTGGTTGTCATCAGGTTATTTTGTATGCTAGCTAGCAGTGCACCCTCTTTAAGTTAAAGTTGTTTGGCTGGAAAGGGGTGTGAATATGTAAATACTGACTCATTTAACTTAGGCATGAAATTTAATGAAAAAGCAAAGATTTTCTCTGGTATTTCAGGATTTACTGACATATGTTTGTTATAGTTTTAATACTAAATCAGTATAAAAAAGAGGCCTGTTTTCACAGCAGATTTAAGTTGACTATTTCATTGAACTGAAGTGCTTTTTAAATTTAAAAAAAAATCTTTGACAGGTATAAATAGCTCTTTGGATTATGTCACTGAGTTTAAGGAAGCCTGCCAGTGTGTATAGAGAGATATGTATGCATTAGATTGGGGATCATTTAAAGGAATTCTCTGCAGATTGCAATAGGATTTAATTATTTTATTTTCCGATTCCTGTTTTAATTTGAAAACTGTTGATATTTATCTTTCTTTCTGAAATGGATGTTTATCCGTGATAGTGTAGAAGTAAATGGATTGATACTTTATATGTGCGTGTAATTGGAGTGTAATTATCACTGCAGAGGCAGTAAACAGCTCGGGAAAAATACTTAAGAAAGAACGACAAGTGTCAGAAAGATCCGTAAACATCCTGTCTGTTTTACTACTGAGAAAAATCAGGTTTCTGCTTCTGTTGAAAATGCTACAGGATTTTGTACATATATAAAAAGAACAAAAAGGAGTATTTCTTTGTAGGTGAGATTTTATTTAACTAAGTGACAATTGTTGATGAAGATTAGGTTTTACATGTTCTACATGTAGGTACAGTTATAGTTAAAAAGTGATCCTCGGAAATAGAATAAACTGATCAAATTACAAAATGAGATATATATATTTTATGCAGTACATCTTCAAAAGATTTTGACCTGTAGTACTGTAAACTAAGCTAGGAAAAACAACAAAAGCCTTTATAGGTTTATTAAAAGGGATTTGAATTTTTTTAAAAGTTTAGTTGAAATAGATTTTTTACCATAGACTCGGCTTTTGCATGCTGTGTTGTTTTCCACACAGAATGATTGATTTGTTTTAGTAAATCTTTTTCAAGTGTTTAATGAAATTTAAATGATATTTATATGCACCACCATAAAGTTTTGATGTTGATTAATGCAAAGGCACAGGAATGCACACAGAGTTTCAAAACCAGTGGGGTACATGCATAGTCCGGAGGTTTAAACAATCAAATTATTTTGCATTAACAGTTGCTGGCTCCAGATCCATTCCACCCAAGTTTGCTGTTCCATTGACCAATCAGACTCTGTCTCCAGGAGATCAGCTGACCCTGGAATCCACGGTAACAGGTACGTCTACTCGGATATTGGTTAAATGTTGTTCGAGAATTTTATGAAATACTGTAGATGTACTTTTTCCTGCATAGTATTAATTTACGCTATGTACACGGTCACAAATTTTCTGCGGAAATTTGTACAATCAAACTTATTGCAAATATAATGCATATAAAGAGAGTCTTAAGATACCCACATAATTTTCTACCAGTGGATTGAAAAGAATTAGAGATTAGAGAATTATGACCCCACGGAAAAAAAAGTATGTCTAAAGCAATGTGAAGAAATTGGTGCATGAAATTAGATTGAGCTGAATCGTTAGGAAATTTATGAATCAAGGAAATATTTGGGCACTCTTTATGACAATTGATGCTTTCAATTTTATTGGGAAACTGATGCTATCTTAAGGAAATTTGAATCCAGTGATCATTTTGAATCACTCATGTATGTTCTAAAATAGAAAAATTGTATTTAATAAAATTTTGATTACTTAAAAAATATTTTGAGTCAACTGGAAATAATGCAGTCATTATAAAAATTGAAATCGGAATTTGTACTAATTTTTTGTGATTTATTCTTGCAGGGTACCCTAAACCAAGTATTAAATGGTACAAAAATAACAAGGAAATTCACTCAAGCAAAGCCGTGAAAATGGAATTTGATGGGTCAAAGGTCAGACTAACTGTGTCCAATGTACAGACAAGCGATTCGGACTCCTACAAATGTGTAGCTGAAAATGAGGCTGGACAAGATAAAATCAAAGCTGATGTATCTGTGATAGGTGAGGGACAAATAGGGGTTCTCCAAAAAGCATGTACCAAAATATTGAAATTTAGTGGTAAAATGTTTAAATTGTAAATATATACATGTATAAAAATCAAGTAAAAGTTCAAGTTCTGTTTTACATTGACTCGCTTGTTTGAATAACTTCACTCAAGATTTTAAGGGATATTTTCTTAAAATATATTGCATTCAATACAGACATATGTAAATGAAGTAATGTTGGTATTGTTATAACATGGAACCACATTTATGGTAAATTAGTACATGTATTTTTGTGTACTAAGAAGTTAATTAAATTCCTTACAGTTCCCTCATCAGCTGCCCCCGACGACTTCAAGGAGCCCCCTGTGTTTGTCAAAGAACTCGTGGACATGGAGGCCAACGATGGCGACCGAGTAGAGCTGGCAGTCCAGGTCGAAGGTCAGTGTCAAATGTCGTGTGTCAAGGTCATTTGTGCAAAAATAGGACTTGTATTTTTTGCTGTTTTGGCATTGAACTGTTGTATTAAAGTAGCTAGAACAGAACCTTTTCTGAAACTTTTAAGCATAGATTTTAGCTGGCATGAGCATAATTTCAGCTTCTTCACTCTTTGATGTTTGAGAGCAGTTAAATTAGACATGTGTGCATGAATTGTTCAAAACTAGGGGAGAAAAATAATTGTGAAGATTATTGTTAATGTCTGAAAAAACAGTACATTATATTAAGTTACGAGGGTTGTCCTTAGGTAACTAATTAAACAGTAATTAATCGTGGACAAGTTGTCAATAGTTTTAAAAATAATCATCACTGCGTTCTGAAATTTTCACCACTTTTTAGTAGATAAATTATGAATATACATAGCAAATTTTTATATAGATATATGCATAGGTAAACAAATTGTGATATTTTATGTTATGCACTGTATAATTTATATGTGTGACGGCGCACGGATGATAACTTTTAAAGTGTCTAAACAGCTTCACGTTTTCATCTTTGCTAAACTTAAAGTTGGATAAGCCCCACTTAAATTTAGAAATTTTATTGATTTACATATGTGAGTATCTATAACCAGTATAAGAAACCAATAAGGCACACTGTGTGTGATCTTCTGAATATTTATGGGCAAGTTACAGACAGTATTCTTACCATCATTCAACTAAAAGAGAATCTCACATCGACGGTCGACAGTGACAGTGTCCTTTGCTATAACAAATGGCAGTCTGTCCACAAAATTCACTTTTTTTTTTTTTTTTTTATATGTTTTGTACTATAAAACATTGAATTAATACATGATGTTTTTTTTTAAATAGAGATACTAAGAAAACTTTCATTTCATTTATATACTAAAGATCTGGTGATATTTTTCATATTTTCTTTCTTGTGTATTCATTTAAAGTCTCTTGATATTGGCGTCATTACAACATCCTAATCTATGTGAACTGCTCTCCGGTGCGCCGTATTTTGAATATCGTCATAAAAAGTAAAATATTTTTCGTGTATTGTGTTTATTACTTTCCCATTTCAAATTCTTCTAGAAATGCCAAAAATTAACCAAATGCCTTGAAATTTTTAAGGCAAAGACGACAGAATTGATTTTGAAGGAATGGAATTAGGATAATTTATATTGAAACCATTGGAATCTTATGTATTGAAAACTTTTCTTACGAATTTTTTCCATTCTTATGTCTTCTCTAATATAACCTTGCTATTTTTACCGTGCGCCGTAGGACCATAAAAACTTGTGCACATTCAAGCAGAATAAAATCTTTATTTTTGAATATATATTATCAAGAACATTATGATTCACTTAAATATGATGAATAAACATTTACTGAAAATTTCAGCTTAGTGCGCCCATTACTTTTATAGAAAAACGCTTTGTCCACGATTTTATGGGACAACCCTCGTATATTAAATTATCCTTGGGATATAAATGAAATTGGAGGTGTTAATTGTTAAAAAGTGTGAATATCTCCTTAGGTAACTAATTAAGCAGTCAATTAATGCAAATTGAGTAAACTTTGATATATAATTGAGTTCATATTAAAATAACATTCATCTAACAAGACCATGATAAATTCTTCTGGTAAAACAAACTGGTTTGGAATACTGATTTAAAGGTTTTGTACAGTTTTCCACTGATAAAATCATACATCATTGATCAAGGTAAATAATTTTTAAGAAGAAATCAATATTTTTATATAGATTTAATTTCAAACTGATCAAAGTCTAAATGACACTTTAAAATTTGTCCTCAGGTTGGAGTAATTAACTAATTAGCTTGTTGGTTTGACACTTTGAATTAATTTATATGTGTGAAATTGAATGACATGACAGCAACTTTTAATTTTCTGACCATCTAGAAAGTGTCATCAGCATGATTTTTTTTCAGCATGTTCACAGTTATTCCTTTAATATTTTTGTTTAATCTAATTTGAATTGCTAGTATTTCTGCACATATAATGATATAAGTTTGGGTGCATAAGGAACCCCGCTGGATGTTAATTCTTTCAGAAAGATCCAGTTTTTGCAGATGTTATGTCCATATTAAAAAGTGACACCCAAGGCCCTGTTTATGTCTGATAATCCAGGACAAAGTATTACTTTTTCAAAATCAATAAGTAATAATAACAGGTATATTTGTGTGTGAATGCATTATATCATATATTATGGTGACACAGATATATCATTCTGTTTGATCTTTGTTAAAATTTTGTCAATGGTAGGGGAATTTACAGGACTGGTTTTCATGTCACAGAAATCTCCGAATGTTGCATGTCTTCAGCATTGCATGAAAGTTAGAGCATCCTTTACTAGCAGTTTGGTAGCTCACTATTTGAGCCTTTTATACGATATTGTAGTTTCCACCCAGGGAAAGTCCAAACATTTGATGCATGAATTTGTAGCATATACTGAATGAATCACATATTTTAGAATTTTTTATTAAAATATTGCATTTGGCATGTATGTTTTCAAACTGTCAAAGCAAAATTAAAGTAAATGCCATGTTATAAATTCTGTATATAATGCTCGAAATACTCAAAGTTCAGAGCAATGCAATAAGACAAACAATATGAAACATTTCTTTGATATGAAGACTAATTTCCTTTTCTCTCTCTTGTATCTTTCAGAATCTGATCGACGCCGCTCTGCCAGAAAATTCTAGACTATTCTTTCTTCTTTTTTTTTCTCCTCTATCTTTTAGTTTTTTCCCTTTCTTTCTTATTTTTCTTTGAACTATCAATAACAAACATTCCATGCATGTTTATTAAATTTCTCTCCTTTTTCTTTTCTTTTTGGTTTTATTTGTGTGTTTATTTATTTATTTGTGAATTATGTGAAATATTATGAAGAACTGTGATAGAGACATTTTTTGACAATATTTTGTACAGAAATTTTATCAAAATCCTGCATGCAACATAACACTTCCTCTGAGTCAAGCTATCCGCACACCTACTGTGAATCCGAGTCAGAAAGAAGCTTGAAATCAGACTCCGGATACCTAACAGAAAAGAGTTACCAGAAACCCGACTTCATATTGAAGCCGCACACGGTGGAGGTGAAATCCGGAGGAAGTGCTATATTTCTGTGTAGGGTAACTGGGTTCCCCACACCAAACATCGTGTGGACGACAAACGGAAGAACAATCAACAATGATGATCAACATAAGGTGGGTTTTCTTTGTAGATTTTCAAAAGCAACTAAGGTATATTTTAAGAAAGTTTTCATATAATTTCTTCATCTCCTACTGTTCTCAAAATTTGAGTGTTGAAAATCCTGATCCATGGTGAACAGCAATGTGCAATTAAATTTTACCCCGGTAATTGTCTCCATCTTATACATTTAATGAACAGTACTGAACTAAGGCTATTTAATTTTTTTGCACAGATCAGTTTTGGAGAAGACTGTGTCCTGGAAATCAGAAATGCGTCTCAGAGTGACAGCGGAATATACACCTGTACACTCACAAACCCAGCAGGAGCCGTATCCATGGACGCCAGACTTATTGTCAATGGTTCAGATGTATCCAGCAACCCCCCAAGCAGGGTTCCACCACTGCATCAGTGAGTTGAACACTACTAATGAATATTAGTATTTTATGGGAACACACTCTTTAAAAAATTCATTTATTTCCTTGATAATGCATATTTTGTCCATGAAATCAATAGCAGAAGGAACATATTGAGGTATTTTTTTAACCTTGTTACATCATTTAATTGAATTTTATAGGTCTGTGCATACAAGGGTTGTTGAGGAAAAAATTGAACAGCAAGTGTCTCCTAATAATATGAGTTCCCGTAGAGATTCAAAGCCTAACACTCCAGAAACAGTGAAAAATTCTTATGTGCCAAAGCAACTTAGTAATAATTCTGTATCAGAAAGGATAGAGAAATTAAGAAAACTGGAACACAAACCTCCAAAGAGTCATGAAGTTCATGATTTCAGAGGAGTGTTAAAATCCAAGCCAGCATCTTCAGAGAAGATTGACTATAGAAGTGTGTTAAAACATAAATCTAACAATGATCTCACAAAAGTAGGACTGACCCCTGAAAAGAAACACTCAGCAGGCCCTGAATTAGGGACAGATTTCCGAGAAATTCTGTCCCAGAGGAAGAAATCGAGAGAGGAACAACTAAAACTGCACAGTGACAGAAAGGCCAGCTCATTCTCAGGGTCAAAGAGAGATAACTCTAGCAGTCCTACTGATTTCAGGTCAGTGTTAGGTAGAAAAAGGAACTCTGTGCCAAAAGAATCATCTCCAACAGTAAATAGGGACAATGGTTTCTCATTAATTAAAGAAAGGCCACCTGTATCAGGTAGACAAGATTTGAAGGAGACCACAACGGACAGAGTGTTACCATTAAAATCTGAACCTGCTCTGTCAAATGTCACAGTCAAACAAGATATAAAGGAGACATCAACATTCAAAAATGTACCACCGAAATCTCAAATTATTGACAATAAGTCTTCATCAGTGCCAAAGGACACAGTTCAAAATAGTGCTAGTGAATTAATATCCAAATTTGACACACCTGAAAAAGTCAGTTATAAATCTCAAACATATCAACAAACAATGAACGAGAGGACTCCAGAAAAAGGAAGACAATCAGTGTCGCCCAGTCCAAGAAGACGAAGAGCCTCCCCAGCCCCACAGGGTACCACCAATACAGAACCTCCATCTGAAGAAAAAGTCCAACCAAAAGAAGAGTTAGCCCCACCACCACACAGTGTAGAACCACCATCACACAGTATGGAACCACCACCAAATAGTGAACCACTGTCACTTAGTGAAAAACCACCAACACTTAGCACAGAACCACCATCATTTAGTGCAGAACCACCGTCACAGCCCCCAGTCCTTACAGATGTCATGGATGAAGTAGACATTGAGAGCTTGTTAGCCAAACGAAGACAAAAACGAAGACAGTCCCCAGCCCACAAAGACTTTATTCCACCCGATCAGGCCAACATTGTAGTGAATATACCCGTATCACTGCCTGTTAACATAGATACAGTGATACCGGAGTCTCAGAAACATGGAATGGAAAAATCAGAAGTGAACTCAAAGGACAAAATTGATATGGTTCCAGAACAAGATAGAAATAAAACAGAAGATTTGAACAGCTATAGGAAAACTGATGAAAAATCTGTAATAGCAGGAAGTAAAGTGACATCAGAAAAATCAAAATCTAATGTTTCTGACCATTTGGTGGAAAATAAAGAGGAAGATTTCAGAACTGTTCTGGCTAATAGGAAAAACAGGAATGCTAACAGCTTTAATGATTCTCCAAACCCTAAAGAAAAAAATGAAAATGAAAGTAGTGACATCTTAAGAGATTGGAGGGAAAAACGGCAGCAGCAAAATTGGGGCAACAAGGAGGGTGTTAATGGGGAGGTAAACTCAACAGTGAAACTCGATAGTGTAGCTCAAGAAACGACGAAAAGTAAAGAGGATACAGTGAAAACTAGACCACCACTGAGTAAAATGAACTTGAATTTAAATATAAATCGCAATGAAAATTTACCTCAAAATGGCAGTGTGAAAACTCCTGAAAATTATTCTGATGATTTTCGAAGTATTCTGTCAAGGAAAAGAAGAACAAGTAACAGCTTTAGCAAATACGATGCAAACAATGCTAAATCCCCGTCCAGCCCAAAGACCACAGATTTCAGACATGTTTTAACGCGGCATGTCAGCTACGTGGAAAATCGGCACCGCCAAGCCCCCACATTCAACTCGAGGCTGAGGGACAAAACGGTCACCGAGGGGGAGGCGGTCACCATGGAGTGCCACATCACAGGAGTGCCCCGCCCAGAAATCACCTGGACAATGAACAACAATCAAATCAAAGTAAGTTTAATTTACTAACATAGTAAAGCATGGCCAGGATTTTTCGTAGGATGAAGTCCAGTGAGATTTATACTAGGGTTCCAAGTGATTCAGTGTAACACTTGCAAGTCATTCTTTTTCGTGGGTAATTAGAAGAGGCCAAATGTGGTTTGAGAAATTGTCCATTTTAATGGAGTAGGTCATAGAGAGTTGTGAATTTTGTCCATTTCATGCTCTGATGTGCCCTGGGATCTTTTATAGGAGTTTAAGTGGTTTAGTCATTATATATGTACACTCAATGAGGGAACTCTTGGTATGTAATGTAATTTACTTCAAGGTGTCTGCTATTTTGTAAAATCTTAAAGTACATGTATTTCTTATTTGGTAAAATCCAAGTTTCATGACAGACTTTTGGCTGAAATAAAACTTGCTTTGATAAAATATAGAAAAGGAAATTTAATCATAAAGTGCTTTGCACTATTTTTTTGGGTGATTCATTTTTTGATATCTATGAAGGATTGTAATTTGAGTATATCTGTACCCCGTAGGTATTGGGTATAAATTGTCACTGATTGTCAAAAATGAAAAGAAATTCTATTTCAAAAGGGAAAAAAAAAACTATTTTAGTGACGAAATTTGATTATGATGTTCAGTGCATTTGAAAGGTATTCAACTGGATTTTAATGCATTTATTTTCTTTTATGAAAAAAGGACGTTTTTTTTTATTGATAAGGAAGAATAATTGATCCCAGTTACATTTCTATTTGAATTTCATTTGATGAAAAGAAATTTAAAATGATTTAAATCAACATTTAACGGGGTTAAATAGATAGATAGGTTTAATCCATTAAATTAAAGAAAAAAATTGTACGTCTCATTTAGTATGATTCAGACCTTCTTAGATAGTTAAGTAAACTGAATGGAGAGGACATTTTGCACATCAGAAAAAAGTGTGTAGGATTTTTAAAACAGATTGAAAGAAACAAATTGTAAAGTAAATATTTAATTTTTATTTCTCAGTGCATTTCATTCCTCTACTGCCAGAAGTGATAGTGTTATAAACTGGAATGTTATCATAACTAGGTGACACATGCAATTTTAGGGTACAGACCTGAAAACCTAGGACTTAAATTTTTAGGGACCGTTTATGGAAAACAAAGTGTCGGGGCAACAAATAGATTATCTGGATTCAAACTGTGAATTCGTGAATTGCACACCTTTATTTGCGCCATTTTTGTAGCTTTGTTTGTGTAGTCTTTGTTAATGACGAGGCATAGATAAGGTTTTGTTGGTTTTCAATTGTGGAAACATTGACAATTTAACCCGTGTTGTCTCAACAGCTTACCCATAATAGATTTTAACAAAACCTTTTTATGACTTTGGGATCTTTGTACATTATTTTTGTTCGATACCAATCAATAGGCCACCACTTGTCATAAGAACTTTGGAATAACAGGTAATGTCTTGCTCTTGACAGATTCTTTATATTATTTATATGAAAAGTTTGTGTCTTTGAAATTTTTATTTTTCTAGATCTTTTTCCATATCGAAAAAATTTTGATATTTTTTGCATCCTGATTGCTAACTTACCGGTATATAATCTTGTTTAATAATTTATTAAGCTGTGCAATGCGACAGACATATGTAGACTTGTAGGTTGTTTCTCTGTAGGTGATAATAAGGTAAATTACTTAAAGAGAATCCCTATATATATGAATTTCTTTCACAGCCATCCAAGTTCTTTCGTATGACCTACGACGACAATCACATCGCCCGACTGGTCATCGCAGGAGCCTACCCAGAGGATGATGGGGTATACGTTTGTTATGCCAGCAACAGCTCCGGAAACGAGTCAAGCACCTGTCATCTCTTTGTAAAAGGTAATCAGGCAAGAAAAAGCATAAAAATTTCACTCATTAATATATGCTGTCTGGCACTCTCTGATAAATTAAAGGTCTTAAGAAATTTTATACCGATCATTTAGGATGAGGAGCCAAGAGTTTTTATGTTGTTGTGATAAGCTTAAGACTGACATAATTGTGGGAAATGATGTAATATTTTCGTTGTGTAGAACTCGCCAGCACAACAGACCATTCAGAGGAAGAGAGAGGCATGCAGAAGGGGGTATCGAGCGAGGAGGGAACCTGTACAGAAGACGACGACTTTGCCGACACCCTGGAGGCCCCAGTGATCCACGAGATCAACCCCTCCACCGTCAACACCACCCCGGGGCAGAAAATCACCATCCAAGCCTCCTTCACTTCTGATGAGAAACCTACCATTGAATGGCGAAAAGGGACATCACTCCTGAAAACTGGTTAGTTAGAAAGTTTTCATAGGATGTCAATTAAAAAATTAGATTGAAGTCTGTTTAAAATTAAGAGGAAATAGATAATGCTATTGAGATTAATGGAGTGTCATGTAGTTTAATTTTGTGGAATTTAAATTTTGATGTAACAGATGCCAGAGGTTGCTCTTCCTCTTTGCTATGACAATGCTGGGTGTACGTAGGAACATGATTCAGTAATTGTGGATATCCCACAGAGAGAGTGAAGCAGAGGTTTAAACTGTGTAATTTAGCCTATTAGGTCTATGTAATTTTAGGGTCATCTTCATTGTAGACCCATGCATAAAAATTGAATTCAATGTTTGACAGATAGCAATCTGGGGAAGGTTATTTAAGCTGTGGGAATGAGATGAAACTCATAAATATTCTGTTGCTGAGAACAGATATGCTTTTGATTTCAACTGTAAACTTTTGAAGCAAAAAGTGGCATTTTTCATATATTTTAGTGTGATGTGGGAGTTATCAGAGAAAGCCATGAAGAAATGTTTTATAACTTTGAATATTTCTGTCTCTTCTTATCAGTAGTGTATACAGTCACACATTGACAGAGCTGATGATGAATTCACATTTAATAAGGAAAATCTTATTCCCTGGAAGAAATGTGTCCCTTTGTCTTTAGAAGTGAATTATTAATGGACATATGTGGAAGCTTTATTAAATCGAGTGATAAATTGATCTCTGCTTGTTGAATGTTCATGTGGGAGGTAGGGAAGTTTGGAGAGGGAGGTTTCGTCAAAAGAATTGTGGGAGGACTAGTTAGCACTAACTTTCTGTTTTGGATTTATATTGAAATTTCAAGCTCATTAGTTATCTGCCATATATTTTTAAAAACCAAAGCTGTTATTGATTTAAATGCATTGTGTGATCACTGCTTTTATAAAGCAAATTCTGAAGTTAAAAGTTTTAAATTCATCTACAGTTGTTATTAAATTTGATTATTGTGGCCATCCTGGTTAACACATAACACTATTGTTTAGTAGCCAGGGTACATATCTCGTCCTGTAGGATGTTCATTTTTTATTTCTCTTTATGACAAATACCTCCAGAATTTGTTATTGCTGTGAAACTCTTCACAATTTGCCAACTTAAAAGCTGTTTGTTCAAAGTGGAGGTGTGTGCTCTGCCTTTACATTATTAACAGAACAGAAGAATTGTCTGCTTTTCAAGAAAATAATGAATTGTGAAGTTTTAAGATGAAAGTTGATTTTCAGAACTGTAGATGTACTTTGTCGGCCTTTATGGGAGATTATGATGAAAGTAAGATCCTGAGTTTGTTACAGAGATATGTTACTGGAAGCTGAAATGTAGACCTGAGTATTTGGAAATATATACAGCAGTGTTTTTGGTATGTCAGTGATCACTGGAAAAACAGGATAATAGATCTATCAAAAATGTCAATATTCCAATTTTTTTGTGTTATTTTTGTCTCGGTATTGGCTTGTTCAGGTTGGAATGTTTCCATATTCCATAATCACAATAGGAAATCAAGAGTTGATAGCTCTTTCTTTACTTAGTGGTACATTATGGGTAGACTGTTTCTGAGCAACAGCATGGATGTGTGAAAAGTTCTATGGATTCTCTCTTTATAAACATCACAAATTATTTAAATATTTTAAATAATTGTGCTTAATGTAAATATAAAATTTATTTCCAGATGACTCCATCTCGGTGAACAGCTCGGAACATTTCAGTCGACTCACTCTAAATCAGGTCAAGGTCACGGATGCTGGAAAATATGAAATAACGGTGACCAACAGTATTGGCCAGGCATCAGCAATGTCCACAGTCAATGTACAAGGTAGGGTCATTATTAAACTTAGATGTACATGTACTATCCGATATATGTTTGAAAATTTTTGTCACAAGTTTTTTCTTTGTTATAGACTAGTTTACAAAACTTTTAGAAGCTGTTGAATTAGTGTATGAACTCATGATGTACATTATTTTTTTGCTCATATTTCTTTTAATTATTCAAGTTAAATGAAAGAATTTGAGAGGATCTAGGCATAAGATACTTTGATTGCACATAAATATTATATGATTTATTAAAAAATCAATGTAAAGAGTTTTTTGCCCCTGACAGATGTGCCGGGACAGGTGCCTGGTCCCCCCTACGCTTCTGATGTCAATCTCCGCTCTGTGATCCTGTCCTGGGGGTGCCCCTCCTCTGATGGGGGGACCCCGGTCACCGGGTACAGGGTGGAGATGTGTGAGGCTGAGAGAGATGTCTGGCAGACCCTCACAGAGCAGTGTCATGTAAGTATCTAATAGTACCTCTGTAAGTACTTATAGACCCTCACGGAGCAGTGTCATGTAAGTATCTAATAGTACCTCTGAAAGTACTTATAGACCCTCAGTGTTATGTATCTAGTAGTACCTCTGTAAGTAGATATAGTATCTATCAGTACCAGTGTTGGTACTTATAGTATTTCTGACAGACAGACACCGAATAGTGTCATGCAAGTATCTAGTAGTACCTCTATAAGTAACTTATTAGACCCTCACTGAGCAGTACCATGTAAGTATGTAGTAGTACCACTGTAAGTACATATAGTATGATTGGCAGACCCTCACCAAGCAGTGCCATGTTAGTTTTGTAGTACTGGTGTAAGAACTTAAAGTATGTCTAGAATTATTGATTATGAATAAATGGACACAACAGATTATGTGTCTGGTCATCTTTTGATCTGATTACTCCCTGACCTCAGGTCTGACATTGTCACTGATAAGTTTAATAAATTTACAGTGTATAAGCTGATGGTAACATGTTGAATGTTTTAATATTGACTGAGTTGTAATGATATACATATCGTTATACACTGAAAATAGCAACACAGTTATTAAATTTTTAGAAGAGAGTAAATTTATCTCAATTTATTGACTACAATCATGTACCAGAAATAGAATTAATATGAAATTGTGCTTTTCCTTCAGGTGATATATTTTTTTGTTTGAATACATATATCAAACATTGATCCTATATGTTTCTGTTTTTGTAGAGTACATCATACCACATAGCTAACTTGCTCCCGCACACACCATATTTTTTCCGTGTGGCTGCCAAGAACAAGCACGGATATGGAAAACCTAGCGAAACATCTTCTGTCATAGTCACCAAGGATCGCAGGTCATCCCTGCGTTTGTCTGTTGATTCCGATGGTAAGTTTAGCCTTGACACGTCTTCACTTGTGTATATTTTGTCTTCTGCATTCCCTGGCACTTACGTGTATATTAATCTTTCACAATTTAACTGTTATCTGGTTAATGTCAGTGAAGCTGAAATATATATTTAGTGCCAGCTTGGCTGATGTCTCTAAAGTTGCTCTAGGAAAATTTTCACATGATCTGCATGGCATGGTTATCTGCCCTTGACATTGATAGCTAGCTGTACTTTTAGCAAAGATAATTATTTTTTATTTTACTGTAAATGATAATCCAGGCTGATGTTTAGGTATATAATTAAGTAAAATTTATTTTGAAGAGAAATTTAAGAAGCTAGCTTAATGGATCTTTAATGCATGGCAGTTAGGAATTTTGAGATTAGTTGCATGTTTTTTTGAATTTATTCTGACAACTTTAGATCCCCCTTGCAAATACAGCTTAGACTTTCTTTCTATAGATGTATATATAGATACATATATCTTCTTAAACTCTATTGATATTGGTTTCAATTTTATGCATCAATTTTTTTTTCTGTGTAAGTTAAATTAAACAAAAGAATTCAAAATTAACCATTATTGTCTTCAGCTATCCATTGTTAGTATAATACTATATAGACTATGGATACCTGATATCTGAACCAATATCAATGAGTAGTAATTTGATAGAGAAATATGTGCACGTAATCCTGACATTTTTCCAGATGTTTTTGTGATGTCACCGACCTCACCCACGGGGTCATACATGTCCATTTTCTCCCCCACAGGTAAACACTTATTTCGCTGCATGCTCCTCCCTTCATACCTCATGAGTCATCTTTCTTGGAGAAGCATCCTTCCATGTACTAACCCATTTATTTCTTGGCATCTTGAGTTTATTAGCTTTTCTTTTTTCTTTATTTGTAGATATTTTTATTCACCTTTTTTCATTTACAATCTTGTATTCTAGCTTTAACAATTTACAATCTTTATATCCGGTTCTTTTTCCATATATCTTATTACCCTACTTTGAAATTTTAATCATATATTATCCTGAAATAATATATAATTATTCAGTTATTAATTGGAAGCACCATTTTACTTGGTTCATGTCAGTTTATCAATACTTACATGTAAGCTAGAAATGAATTTAAAAAGACTTTGAAATGTTTACTTTTCTGTATCAGTATGCTTGTATACATTAAAGTATAATATATTTGTGAGCTTATGTAAATTTTATTAACACATCTTAAAATTTAAAAGTTTCAAATCACACAAATAATCAATTGATTTTTTTCATAAGTATATAGACATATATTATTGGCCAATGCATTTAAATATGAAAGAACTTTCAGATTATATTGACATGTATGGTATGTTTGGTAGTAAAAACAGGCAGGGACAGGGAACTCTTAGAATCTTTTTACTCAGTTTGATTTGAATTAAAAAATTTGACCACGTCTTAAATTAACTTTCAAACAGTTTAAATATTTATGCAATTTTGCAGACAGGTACAGTATTAATTGGTTAAAGTCAGAAATATTAATTGCATGGATAAGGCAGATGTAGTTGGTATTGAAACTTTTCATATGTTTACAGAGGAAGATCTGCCCTTTGAACCCAAAATAGTGACGCTGCAGGAAGAAAAGAAGTTTGAAGAAGACTATGACCTGCAAGATGTCATAGGAAAGTATGTAGGCTTACTTATATTTTAGTAAAATATCTACATTTTGTATCATGAAGGTTAAACACGTATTTATTGTGATTCTCAGTCAATTTTCTTTTCGTTAGAGTATTTATGAATCTGCAATCTTTAACAGACCTTAATTAGTAAAAGAGTTCTCCAAGAGCTAAAAGAAAGTTTTATAGCAAATATTTTTTAGAATTTTTTTCCTTGCACATTATAACATTGAATTAATAATTCAATCATTTCAGGGGAAAATTTGGAAAAGTCCATAAATGCTTGGAAAAAGCCTCAGGCAAAACTTTTGCAGCAAAGGTTGTCAAATGCCGAACTCAAAAAGAAAAGGAAAATTTGAAACAAGAGGTTGAGATAATGAATTGTCTAACTCACCCAAAACTCTTGATGTTGTGGGATGCTTTCGAGACGGCAAGAAGCGTAGTCCTCGTGATGGAATAGTAAGTAACCCAAAGTCACTTAGGGGTTAAAGGTCATTTGCATTAATTTAATAAAACTGTACAGTTTGAAATGCTACATATGTACAAAGCTGCAAATGACTTAAAACAGTTTGATAGAGAATACATACATTTAACTGAATTTTAATGAATAAAAGGGAAAAATTATAACAAATTATTTTACATGAATAATAAGTCCTGGAAATTGATTTCATTCCAGTGTATCAGGAGGAGAACTATTTGATCGCGTTGCCGATGAGGACCTGGAGTTAACGGAGTGTGACTGCGTACATTTCATGCGTCAGATCTGCCAGGGATTGCAGTACATGCACCTGAAGTCCATTCTACACTTAGATCTGAAACCCGAGAACATTCTGTGTATAAACAAAGACAATAACCTGATTAAAATCATAGACTTCGGCCTCGCTCGGCGACATAAGGAAGGTGAAAGTCTACGTGTGATGTTCGGAACACCGGAGTTTATTGCTCCAGAAGTTGTGAACTACGAGGAGATTGGATTCCCGACAGATATATGGAGTGTCGGGGTCATTTGTTATGTCTTGTAAGTCGGACTTCAACTCCCGATTTTTTTTTTTACTTTATTGTAGGAAGGCAAATCAAAATTGAAGATGGAAAAATTAACAAAAGAAACACAAGATATTTTTAACATTAGAGTTATCTTTCTTTGCCAATGAACAACATTCCTTAACTGATCTTTATGATTTAAAAGAATGGTGATAAATATTTTAAAAGGATAATTTAATTATGTTTTTTTCCCTCTGTTGTATAGGCTGTCTGGTTTGTCTCCCTTTATGGGGGATTCTGATGTAGAAACTTTGTCCAACGTTACGAGGGGTGATTACGATTTTGATGATGAGGCATTTGATGAGATCTCGGACCTTGCAAAGGATTTCATCAACAAAACCATCAAACTGAATAAAAAGTAAGTCAGGAGGACAAAAAGGTTTTATTTCATTTTAGTATATAAAGACTGGTTATGGAAGTATAGGTGATTAAAAAAATTACAATGTGCTTTATTGTTTTTTTTTTACAGGAAAAGATTGACAATAGATCAGTGCTTAGATCATCCATGGGTTGCACGATCAGAAAGAAACAGTTCAAAGAAACTACGACAAAGTCTGAGGAATCTGAAGCAATTCATGGCGCGGCGGAAATGGCAGGTAAGCACCCTGTGTGTGTGTCTGTCTGTTGTAGTTGCTTGTTTGTGGAGAGATACACGTATAGTCTCAGCATCTCCACCTTGGATTGAACATATGTTACAGTTTGAAAGCTAGTATTTCAGTTATTATTGTATATATTGAATTGGATTTTTTAGTGATAAATATATTTTGAACTAATCTTACATGTATGAATCCTTTTTGTTTGATTTCCTTAAACCTAACTTTATTTTTAATTTATTTAATAACATTGAAGTAGCAGTTGTATTATTAATATACATATTTATTTTATTTCTGTAAAGCCTAATTTATATTTACTTGAATGCTGTTGTGTTTCATTTGAAGTTTTAAATTTGACGAAACATTGTGTAAGTTCCCTAGCTTTGTAGCTTTTGTGTTTGCTGTAGATAAAATTGTCTGTGTGTTTGTTGGTAGGATTAAGGAATATAGTTCTTAGTGCAGGTTTGCCTTCACAGGCTTTGTAGAGCTGGTAGCACTGTTTTCTTCATGTGCTGCATGGCAAATGATAATTTCTCCTTTATTAAGGCAGCTTTATCTGTTCTAATTTATAATAATTGATAAAAGAACTGAAGATTTCTGGTAGGCCTTTTTATTTTAGAAAAAAATGGTTATATCTTGTAATTCTTAATTATGAAATATTTATATATTTATTTTACTTATAAATATAAAGATTTCCCTCTCCCTTTTATTACAATGGAAACTTGATTTAACTTGCATGTTCATTAATTTCACTGAAATATAATATAACGCACTGAAAAGTACTCATGGTGACTGCTGCACAATATTTTATGCAAACTTTGCATCATCAACATTGTGTCTATGCTAGACATGATTAACAGACATTACAAAGACTTAATGTCTAATGCTAGCATTGGAAAGTTCACAAGTTGTCTTCTCATGAAAAAAGTTGTAAATATCAGTTGAGAAAGGGATACTTTTCTACTTAATTACTTTATTATAGGACTATCCTTAGGTCTGCACATGATACATATATATCTTACTTTTGATGCAAGGTTTAATTGAGCACCATTTTGTAGTGGTTGAATTAAATTGCATGGACTTTATGACACTTACATGTACATTGGCAATACCTTTCTTATTTATATGAATCATTTTGTAACAATTTCCTAATTGTATCTCTTTCCCTTATCTATCATGGTGGAAGATAATTATATTATAAATAAATGATTTTGAAAATACATCATTAGTAAATTATTTAAATTTCCTTTTTGATCTCTATAAACAGAAAATGGGAAACGCAATACGAGCAGTGGGCCGCATATCGATGCTTCAGAAAAGTCGAAGTGGAAGTGAGAGTTCGGTTCAGAGCGATTCAGACGTTTCGTCACAAACTGACAATAGTACCCTTTCCTCCTCAAGACCTTCGTCCATAGGGTCAGAGGACAAATCGGATCTCAGACAGACAAAATCATCCAAAAGTACCGTGTCCAACACACCCATTCAGCAAACTATTCCATCCCACAAACCACATTCTGTTCACGGTGATCGAACAGAGGAAATAAGTGAACAAACAATAGACACCCAGTTGACATTTCTGAAAGAGATGGTCGACTGCGAGGCATTTATTGGTGACAATGCAAGATTTGATGTCAAAATAGGAGGAAATACAAAACTGCCACCTAGTGTTCAATGGTATCACGAAGAGGAGATAATTCAGACTAATGGACAATATTCTGTGATTGATAGTTTTTCAGAAAATGGTGAATATTCACTGATTGTTAAGAATGTAGGTGGCAGCACTGAAGGTGAATATACCTGCCGTGTAACATCTGGGGATCATGTGATTACATGTAGTGCAGATTTAATATTAAATGATGCAGGTACTATGTAAAGAGAGACACCTTCAGGTTTTATTTAAGTGCAATAAGGGCTGTGGTAAGTATTGATAACTTACCGGGCCTGCCAATCAAATGAAAGGACTACAATGAATCAGAGACTCATTACTGCCAATCATCGTTAGCTTAACTTATCCTCTGTTAGATTATTATATTTATGATGTCTAGCACAGTGTATGTATAGGAGAAGGTCTGTGTAAAGTGCCTGTCTTTATTCTACCTTTGGGGTTTGAGACTTGCCATTTTCTATACCCTGAACTTACCAGCAAGCTTTCATTCATTGTAACAAGCTGATGGTCACTCTTAAATCCTAATTTTTCGAATTTCGGACCCTTAAAACTTGTGGCAGACACTTTACATAAACCTGTGAATTGATAGTTATAACTTTATTTCATTGCAGTGCAGTGGTATTATTTATTTGTTTGACTAGGTGATGGTATAACAATTGCTCAGATTTGTATTTGAGGATGTTAATATTTTCTACTTAAAGAGAAGGTCCAAATTCCCTGAACTTGATTTGGGTCTCTTTTTATGTACAAAATCACCATGGTTTTTGTGTTCATACACTGTACTAAACATTTTTAAAATAAAACTTAAAAAAAAAAATACTGGTGTTATAATTCTTTTCAGTGTGTTTGGAAGGAAGAAAAAATTTCATACATTAAAAATGCATTGTTCTGGAAGATTATCAAACCATTGTGTTAACTTCTAGATTACTAGTGTAATGGCTTGAGCCATGGATATCAGCCTGGATAGCCCAATTGGAAGAGCACCTGACTAGAGATACAGGGGTCCCGGGTTCAATTCCCAGTCTAGCCATAAAATCTCACCTTTTCTGTTACACTAGTAAAGACCCTTTCGGCACCAATCAAATAATGTTTCATGAGGCTAAGGAAAAAATTAAAATACTGACTGAACACTCAGGCAAACTTGATTAAAGAATTGTTTATCCTATACCAACCTATTTGCTTAAAATGGCCCAACTCAAAACTTTTTATGTCCCCCTTCGAAGAAGGGAGGGCATATTGCTTTCCTGCTGTTAGTCGGTCTGTCAGTCCATAGTTTCCGTTCATTTTCTTCACAACCATTGCACATACTGAACTGAAATTTGGTATACAGGTTTATCAGGTAAATATCTAGGTCAAGTTCTGTTTTGGGTACGATCGCACCATTTTTTACAGAGTCATGCCCTTGGACTTGGAAAAATTCCACTTATTTGCAGTTTCCGTTTATTTTCTTTGCAGAGGTTGCACATATTAAAGTGAAATGTAGTATACAGATTTTTCAGCTGAATTTCTAGGTCAAGTTCTGTTTTGGGTAGGATTGCACCATTGTAGACAGAGTTATGCCCTTTTGGACTTAGAAAAAAAAATCCAATTTGGGGGGAGGGGGGGGGGGGCATAAGTGTTTTACAAACATCTCTTGTTAACCTATAGTTAAACATCCCCAACTCCCTGGAGTATCTTCTTATCTTGTAAACAAGTGTGTTGGATTTTTCTACAAAAAAATTCTTTCCACCTAGCTACTGACAATCATTTTACCACAAGTTGGGAGTAGGCAAATCTTTTAAAGATGGTGTCACATTGTCATTAATCTTTTGATGACAACACTACATAAGGATCCTTGCATACTATTGCAGTTCTCGGTAGCTGGTAGTCCTTCAGCACCATGAGCACTACTGAGCTTTATGACGTTTGTTCAGCTATGATCCTTTTGGGTTGTTTTGACGAAACAGGCCTCCTTAAATGTGAAATATTGAAAGTTAATTTCATTGATTGTTTAAAAGTTTTTTTTAACATGGTGAGAAATAGATAAAGAAGACCTAATTCATTAAATTTCTGTCAGAATTTACTAGGCAAACAAGATGTTTGTAAAACTTTGATGCCCCCATTGATCATAGTGAAGACTGAAGTTTCTCAAATGTAAGTCAAACTCCAAACTGAAGATAAAGATATTAACGGTACATGAACTGAAGGAGAGATTTTGTCAGAAGGAAAACACCTGTGAAGTAAGAAAGACCCAGATTGAACCTTCAAAAGCAACGCCCAAAAATAAGTCAAACTCAAAGACCAAAGGGTCAAACTTGATGGTACCTAAGGAGTGGTCTTGTCACATGGGTTACGCAAGTGAAATAGTCAACCCTATTACCAACTGCTTAAAAGTTATGGCCAAGGTTTAAGTTTTTATACGCCCGTCTTAAGACGGGACGTATTATGTTATAGGCTTCATGTCCGTCTGTCTGTCCGTCTGTCCGTCCGTCCGTCTGTTAGCTTTTCTCGTGTCCGGCTCATAACTTGAATACTATAAGGCCTAGAGTTATCAAACTTTGTCAGCTGATACATCTTGGGTAGAAGGTGTGTCGCGCACAAAAAGTAGGTCGCTCTGACCTATAATTAAAAAGTTATAGCCAAATATGGAAAAATCCTGTCCGGTCCATAACTAGAAAACTATTAGACTTAGAATCATCAAACTTGGCCACTTCATGCATCTTAGGTAGAGGGTGTGTCGCGACCTATTTCAAGGTCACTGTGACCTTTAATTTAAGTGAAATTTAAAAAAAAAATGTCTTGTTTTCTCTTCATTTACACACTCCAAAAAATGTAAAAGTATTGCACTATTCTTATTAGAAAAATGTTAAATCAAGAAAATACTTATTTTTTTAAGCATATACTTGACAGCAATCTATAACAAATGTAATGTATGTTAAAGAAATTCCACCACTCCCATGAGTTTAATTATCAAGCACTGGTCAAGAAGAATTTTGATAACAGAAAATTGCATGTCAAATTAGAGAAATTAATGAGTTTAGTGTGAGGGAGAGCATCGATGCTATCTATATCCCTTGAGTATTGGGTCAAATGGGTAATCCTGTTGGATTAAAAATAGCTCTTGTTGGCTAGCATAAGTTTTAAAATGAATTTGATGAGAAGTAAATAAAACTAATTTGATTTTGCATAATAAACTATTTTGATATTACATAATATTATGAACTTTAAAAAAATAATTTTATGGGGGTGGGGTGGAATCAGCATGTCCATATGAATTGCATATTAAAACCTGTCTGCCATTAAATCTAACAAAAAATCATTGAGGTTTTATATGTTTTAAAAATGCTTTATGGTAGATAGTGCAGATCCAATAATCTCTTGGGAGTAATGAGTAGACAAGCATCCAGTTAAAGATTAATTAATGTGTTCAGTGTAGCAAGGCTATAGTTGTCTCAATCATTTCTTCAGAGCATTATCTTAATTAACTGACAGTGCATCCTTTGGGAATTAGACAGAAGAACTGTTGGTCAGTTTATATTTGATGGCCAGCCTTTTATTTTCAAAATTAATTAGGTATAGATTAAGTTGTTAAGACTAATTTGATACTGTTTAATATGATAGGCATTTGGCAAGGTCTAACACAACCAGTATAGAAATCTATGAATGATGCAGTATATGTTATAATTAATGCCTACACCACAGGAGATGGATAAACACATTTTTTAAGGAGTCGAAAAATCATGGAAATCTTAAAATCAAGGTTGACATGATTTTCTTGCACTTTTAATTGTTTAAGATAATTGTAATTTTTTGACGGGCGTATCATGCTGTGGCGTGGCACTTTATTTAGAAGTTAGTCAGCCTCCAGGGTCAAAGACAACAGAGTAAACTTAATGGTACAATTATGTATTCAAAGAGTGTTCTTGTCACACGTCTCTCCTGATATATGTAAGCCCTAGCACCAACTGCTTATAAAGTAATAACCATGATAACAAAGGTTAAAGTTTTAAAAAAAAAAAAAATAAGCCCATCTCCAAGGTCAAAAGGTAAAAATCTCACCCTTGGGAAGTTTTTGTCAAGAAGAAATTTGATGAGAAATAAGAAAATCTTAAAACAATGGTTCTGAAGCTATGGGCAAGGCCAGTAAATGTTTTTTTGTCCAAATTAGGTCAAAATCGAAGGCCAATATCGTTGGTACCAAAGAGTTGGCCTTGTGACAAGGAATAAATTCTATGAAACATGAAAGCCATAGAACCAACCATTCAAAAGCTGTAGCCAAACGTAATATCCTTTTTAGATAGACCAGATTAGGTTAAGGTTAAGGTCAAACAAGGATTCCAAAGGGATGATTTTGTCATAAGAATTAATTTACACCTGGAAGGATCAAAATTTTTGGTACCAAAAGAAAGATTTTGTCACAAGTAGGGCTGGGTATTGGCCGGAGATTTCGTATTGCGATATATTGCGATATTTTAAACCGTATTGCGATATGTATTGCAATATTTTCAAGGTAATAAAAATGGCATTTTCGTACTAAATTTACTTTAATTTACATGCAGAATGTACATAACTATGATAAGTAACCAACATGGAAAAAAATCTTGTTGATTTCAGTTAAGTTATGCTCTGAAATGTTCCAACAAAACAACTTCTGACTTACTGTTTGGCTTAATAACAAACTTTCATAAGTCCATTTTTATTTTTAATGACAAATTTCCTTAATCTAAGTATATTGCCAATATATCGATATTACAAAATCGTATTGCGATACGATATTCTTTGTCATTGTATTGCAATATATTGAAATATCGATATTATTGCCCAGCCCTAGTCACAAGAAAAAAATTTGCGGAAAATGAAAGCCCTAATTGCAACCGTTTAGAAGTCATGGTCAACGTTAAAGTTTAGTAAAAGTACGTCAAAGTTAGTCAAGTTATAAGGTCAAGATGTCAAATTTATTGCTACCCAAAAATCTTGTCACAAGGAATAAACTTGAACCTGTAAAATTTTGAAAACCATAGCTAAAATCAATCAAATGTTATGGAGAAAGATCAAGATTGTGTTGTGACTTTCATATTTTACTGGTGTATTCTTTGTGTAAGACTTTTCTTTGACCTCTTGTCCTTGGAGTTTGATCCACTTTTCAAAAAAAAAAAATAAATCCAAACTTTAACCTAGGTCATAGATTTTGAATAGCTGGTTCTAGGACTTTCATACTTTACAAGTGTATTCACTTTGACAAGACCAATATTTTTTATCTTGACCTTAGAGTTGGACGCATTTTTGAAAATATGAACTTTAACCTTGACCAAAATTTTTGAACCGTTAGTACTAGAGATATCTTTCTTTTTCATTGTTTGATTAGCCAATTTTTTTTAGATACCCCACCTTTAATTAGGAATGCAATTCGTTTGCTTTCAAAACAAGTGATTTTTTGGTGTGCGAGGAAAGAGTTCACCTAGGGTGTGGAGCAGCCTTTCTAGTTGTGTGTCTGCTTGTCTGTATTAGTCTTGAATGTTTCAGGTCTTATATAATGTTATCAAAAATGTTTCCGATTGCTTCGAGCATCTCTCAGATTTTGTCACTTAATCTAGTTGAATAACATTCTATTTGTTAGCAAATTAGCAAATCCTGTAAATACTGCTATATATTTTAAAATCTTTATTAATCAGTTGACAGGTTTTCCGTGGTAACCAGTACTGGTTTGTGTCGAGCGCTGCGCTGATGAGCTCGTAGTCCGGCTAACTGGGAATAGCTACTTCTACATACGTAGCATTTATATGGCTTCTCTCCTACAAAAAAGAGAATATTTGATGACTGCACTTTTACAATGACTGACCATATAAAAAAATCAAATAATTCATTGATTTATAAAACAAATACATGTACATATATAAAACACTACCAACACCCATCCTCGCAATGCTAGGGGCCATGAGTCAACTCGTTGCTGTTGGGTCCAGAGGTCCAACCAGGGACAACTCAGGACCACTGGCATTGCGAGGATGACCAAAATCAAGTCTGTGCGTTTTTGTTTAATATTTATATGTAGAAAACAAAACCAATAAAAAAGATGTGGTTGTAAAACACTGATGACCCCGTATGGCATCTCTTGAGAAAGTTCTTAAATGGAACTCCAAGGTCAAGTTCAAAATTGTTGGTATCAAGAGGAAGGTCTTTTCACAAGGAATACACCTAAGAAATACGAAATTCCTAGTACTAACTGTTCAAAAGTTATGACCACGGTGTAAGTGCTAAACAAATTGGTCAAACTCGAAGGTCAAGGTAAAAAATATTTACACAAATTGAAAGATATTGTCACAATGAATACCAATGTGAAGTATGAACACCCTGGAACCAACCGTTCAAAAGTTATGGCCAAGGTAAATTTTTTATGCGGGGGTATATAGTTTATGCCCTGTCTGTCTGTGTGTGTCTGTCTGCAAATCTTTAACCTTGCCCATAACTTTTGAGTGGGTTGGGCTATGGCTTTCATATTTTACAGGTATATTCCTTGTGACAAGACCTTTCTTTGGGTACCACCAAATTTGACCTCGTAGCCTTGATCGTGGAGTTTTACCTACTTTTACAAAAAATTCTACACCTTTACTATTATTTTGACCATAACTTTTTAACGATTGGTGCTAGGATTTTCATACTTCCCATATGTACTCTTTGTGACAAGACTTTTCATTGGATTCCAACAACTTTGACCCTTTGACCTTGGTAGATTGACTTACTTTTAAAAAACTTGAACCTTAGCCATAACTATTTGAGCGGTTAAAGGTAGGTCTTTCATACTTCGAACATGTAATCTTTGTCACAAGACCTTTCTTTAGAAACCAACAACTTTGACCTTGAACTAAGAGTTAAAACTACTTTAAAAAAAATTTTAACCTTGGCCATTTTTAACCTTATGCCCCCGTAAACTAAGTTTCAGGGGTATATAATTTTTGTCATGTCCGTCCGTCTGTCTAGCTGTCTCTCTGTCTGTCCATCTGTCTGTTTGTCCGCAAAAACTTTAACCTTGCCCACAACTTTCGATTTAGTGGAGCTATATATGACATTCATATTTCACATGTGTATTCCTTGTGACAAGACCTTTCTTCGGATACCACCAAGTTTGACCTTGTGACATTGACCTTGAAGTTTGACCCACTTTTACACAAAAATTTTGAACTTTTACTCTGGCCATATCTTTTGAACACTAGATACCAGGACATTTACCAGTATACTTGAGATATTTATTTTTTGTGGCAAGACCTTTCATTAGATACCAACAACTTTGACCTTTTGACCATGACCTTATAGATTTTTGCACGTATGAAAAAACTTAAACCTTGGCTATTACTTTTGAATGGTAAGTGATAGGACTATTATACTTCACACATGTAATCCTTGTCAGAAGTCCATTTATTGGATACCAAAAACCTTAACCCTTTGACCTTTGAGTTTGATCTTCTTTAAAAATACAACCTTGACCATAATATTTGAAGAGTTAGGACTAAGGTTTTCATATTCCACATATTTAATCCTTGTGACAAGACCTTTCATTTAATATCAAGAACCTTGACCCTTTGACGTTGACCTTGGAGTTTGACCTACTTTTTAGAAAATTTAACCTTGGTCATAACTTCTGAACGGTTAGGGCCATCTTTTTCATACTTCCCATAGTCTCTGAGACCAGGCCTTTCTTTAGAAACCAACAACCTTGACTCTTTGACCTTGACCCCGGAGTTTGTCCTACCTTTAAAAATGTCAACCTTGGTCATAAGCCTTGAACAGGTGGTGCTAGTGTTTTATATTTCACATATACTAGTAGTTTGTATTTCTTGTGAAAAGGCCTTACTTTAGGTACCAACATATTTGATCTGCATTTGAGAAAGCTTAACCTTCGCTATGTTGCCATGCGGGGGCATCAATGTTTCACAAACACATGAACATGTGGTGCTAGGGTTTTCATATTTCACAATTGTATGTATTGTGAGAAGACCTTACTTTCGGTACAAATATAGGCCTATTTTATTTGCATTTGAGAACGTTTAGCCTTCGCCATGTTGCCTTACGGGGGTATCAGTGTTTTACAAACGCACCTTGTTTTTTTTTTTTTATTTTGTAAATGTGGGTCAAACTCGAATCACGATCAAGGTCAAGAGGTCAAATTTGGTGGTGCCCAAAGAAAGGTCTTGTCACAGGAATACACCTGTGAAATATGAAAGCTATAGTTCAACCAAATCAAAAGTTATTGGCAAAGTTTTTGCGGAAAAGAGATAAACAGACGGACGGACGGACAAATTGACTATACACTATATACCCCCCCCCCCCCCCCCCGAATATTCTATTACGGGGCCAAAAAACCTATCGGCGCAGTCTTCAAATGAGTCGTACAAAACCAACCTTAATTACTAGTAATTGGTTTGAACACACAATTTCTTAAATACGTAAATTAAATGAAAAGTTGTAATTCGAGTACTATATATCATTTTGAACTAAACAATGAAATACATTTGATCTCTCCACTTGACTCTTGTGTAGCAAAATATAAAACACCAATTAAGCGTTCTGTAGGACTCGACAACTTAAAAATAGACCTACACTACACTTATTTATTAAAGTAGTGTAAATGTATGTTGTTTTCCCTAGTTAAGTTTTGGGTTTGGCTATGCCTACATACTTGACAGAAAGGAAGCAAAAAAACCCAGCTGAAGTGCGTACTATTCAGATTAAATAGCGAGATGGGAGATGTAATTGGGCGATTAAACGCTTGTGCTACCAAAGGAAAATTTCAGAAGGTAAGTTACCCAATAATCACTATCTCGTACTATTTTATCGCTTTTATTTCCAATTACAAGTCAACTTCTAGAATATTTACAACTGTTTGCTAGTCCAGACAAAATAAGTTCCAAAATTCATATATCCATCATGCTTCTTCGGATATTGCCATATAAAATGATATCACCTATTTGAATATTCAAACATTTGATATCATATTCATTCAAATTGAATACTCTATTTGAATACCGGTAAGTGATATCCTTGTTTGAAAGTCAGACAAAATGAAAATCCCCTGCAAAATGTTTATGAAGCAATGAAAAATCGGGAGCAGAGCAAACACGGACCTCTAAAAACATCCGAGGTTGGATCAGGTGCTTTAAAGAATCAAGCATCCCCTGTCGACCTATTACATCCGCCGTGTGCTCCTTGTCACAGTCGGGCAGACGGAAATATCGACAGACAATTCAATGTGTAAATAATGGCCTTACAATCGATGTAAAACGTCAGTCAGCATGTAGAGAAAAAATATTCTTTGATAAAAGATTTCATGTTTCCTTTGGTAATTTTAACGATTGATTAACAAGGTACGCTGGATATGCGACAATTTTTTTTATACCATGTATTGCCATGGAAACACGTTAACTAGCATAATCATGAAATATCCAAGATTATAAATAGATCTACCACTGATAATTGTTAACTTTTAAAAAATTGAGTTATATATAAATTGATTTCATTTCAGTAACTTCTAATGACAATGGCATCTCCCACAAACATGGCACAAGAGGTCATCACCTGTGACCTTTGCCCTAAGCCTACTCAGCAGTTCTGTAATAACTGTCAAGTAAGTTTATGTGTGGACTGTGTCAGTAAACATGTGGACAAATCAAATTCGAAATCCCATGATATTGTTTATTTCACCAATAGGAAGATACAGCCAAAGTTTCCGGACTGTAAATTTCACTCAAACCAGCGATGTGAGGCCCACTGCCAACAATGTGATGTCCACGTGTGTTTTCAATGTATTTTTGGTCCACATAATGGCCACAATGTAAAGAAATTGCAAGAAATTTTCAATGAACAGAAAATGAAAATTGAATTTGACAACTGGGAAATTAAATCAAACATCTATCCAGAGTATAAGAAGAAAATAGAATATACAGAGAAGAGAATATCCAAAACAACTCGTGAATTTGAAAAGCTTGAAAACGAAACTGAAAAACAGAGAAAGCAGTGGCACCAAGAAGTTGATAACATCTTCAACAACCTTAGTTCTTCGATCAAGTCCCTGTCAGTAAAGTATCTTTCTTCTTTAAACGAGCACCATAGAAAATTAAGGAAAAATATTCAAGATATGAAAGAAACCTTTGAACAAAACAAAGAAATCTTGAAGACAAACAGAGTGTCTGAGGTCAACAACTACAAATCCAAACTGACGGAATACAGAAACATACCTGCTGATGTCTTTATCGACATTCCCTCATTGATCATGACAACAATCAATGATAAAGAATTTGGCCTAGAGTTAGGAGAATACAGGGTTACATTAAAGCAGACGACATCATCCAGTTTGGAGAATGGAGTCTCCTGTTTATCCACAAAAGAGTTAAGAGATAAAGCAAGAGTCATATTTATCATTCCCACTGAAGTTATACCACTGTGGGAAGTAGCCTGTGTTGGGAAAGATGAAGTATGGATTAGCGGTGAACACAGCGTCATAGAACGTGTTGACACGTACGGATCTCAGCAGAAATGTGAGATAGGCCAGTGCTGTCCGGATGACATTTGTGTGACCAAACGGGGAGAACTAATTTACAGCGATTCTATCAAGAGCACAGTTAATATTGTCAGATCTGGGAGGACAAACCCTATGGAAATGATGACCACACCACAAGGCTGGAGACCATTCAGACTGTGTTGTACCAGGTCAGGAGACATTCTGGTTAGTGTGAAAGGTAACATCCAAAATAAAATATTACGTTACGAGGGAAATTCCGGTATACTGAAAGAGGAAATAGATAAGGATGCCTATGGATTTCCAATCTTTGAAGAAGGCTGCAATATACTAGCTATGGCAGAGAACAACAATGGTGACATCTGTTTCTGTACCGATAATACAAATGTCCTGATCGCGGTGAACAAGGCAGGAAAAGTTCGATTCCGATACGATGGTACTCCAGCTAGGAGAAGAAAGACGTGTAGTTTTAGACAGGTTGTGACAGATGCCGTGAGTCAGATCATTCTGACGGACTACATCAATGGTTGTCTACACATCCTGCATCACAACGGACAGCTCCTAAGATGTGTGGATAACTGTGGACTAGATAAACCATTTGGTTTGAGTCTGGACAGTGAGGGGAGGTTGTGGGTAGGATTGGCGAATTCAGGAGAAGTGAGAGTGATTGAGTATATGGAGTAGACTGTGTTTATGTTAATAACAGTGAAAGGAACAGTCCAATTACAGTATACCCGTGACCAATGTATAGTATTACATGTACAGGAATACATGGACAGTCAACATACATCTTCTGTAGTTTCTATCTAGGACCATCAAAACATCTGATATCGGACAATAAGTGTGGCTTTGAATCAGGTGTACATCTTTGAAAATGTTATGTTAATATATTGTCAAATACTATTAGTAGATAAGGTTGATAATTTGTGAATTATAAGGCATTTTAGCTTCAATTTAGTTCAAAACAATGAAGAGACTTCGATTTCAGCAATAACTTTGTCGAGATGAGGAAAAGAAAGCTAAATATGGAACCTACATGTAAATCCTTTCAAGAAAAAAATTATATAATAATACCATTGCCAGATGACATATTTTAGTACATAGCTATATAAAAAAAATATTAACTGACTTGTTTCTCCGTAAGAATACACTTTAACAAAGCCTCGAAACAATAATGGTCTCAGACAAACAATTAGATTCTTTGGTCGACATTACAACTTGTTATACCTTTTAAAAGTTGTTCCTAAACAAATCTATACGAAAAAAGTCTAACATTTCTAATGTTTTGCTGAGTGGGATTAAAAAATCGATGTTTGACCGCTGAGTGAGATATTGGACCTGTCGATGAGATGTTGGACCGCTTAGGTCACGCAATGGGCGGAGCTTAATCTCATTTGCATTCATTGATGTTTAACAGTGACGGACCAGAGGTTTACATCACCGACGGCAATGTATCTTGTATGTGAAAAATTTATATAAAAGGTATATAACAAAATGTTTATTGGCTTTAGATATAGTGAACACTTGATATCATCAAAAGAGACGTACCGGTGTGCAATCTCACGTGGTTTCTTAACGTTGATGATTGGCTGAAACATTTGTTACAGAACTTGCAAGTAAATGGTTTCTCCATCGTATGAATGCGCATGTGTGAACGGAGATTGCTGCGAGAATTGAAGCCGCGCCTGCATAGTACACACTTAAGTTTATCTACGTTGTCCATTGAGGTCGGGTGCTGTTCGATGCAATTTTCTTCTTTACCACTGATACCTATTATAAACAGTGCCGTTACGGTTACTTACGAGGGGTGATCAAAAAGTTCGCAAACTATCTCTATAGCTACAAAACCACAAATTCAGATTAGAATGAAATTCGGTACACACATAGTCATACACAAGTTCTATAAATAGCATATGCTGAATAAAGTTTCTCTCCTTGTTTGTGACGTCACAATGTGAAAATAACGTCACAATTTAGGTCACTTGTGACGAAAAATGGTTGTCTCAAACTCGTTCAACAAACGACTGTACAATTTATTGTAATATCTTAGAAATCCCTCTACAGTATTATATAATAATTTGTACACAGTTTATTGAGATAAATGAGTTCCTATAAATTCAATTAATAATTGGATTAATCGTTTTAGTGAAGAAAGGCTGATGGTTAAAAATGAAACTTGTCATCTTGCCCAGTGAAAACAAGTTTGAAAAGATATGTATTTTTAATTAAGCAATTTGCTATCAAAGACCTCCAATTAGCACTTTGAAAAATAGTTGAATATTTGAACAATGATATAAGTATTAAATACCTAAGATATCGTTTACTTTAGATTTTAAACTTATTAGATGTGATAAAAAGGATGCACCCATTCTCTATCCACTTTGAATAAAAGTCTCTCATGAGACAGAAGATTTGCGTTTTAATGGTCGTTATGCTTATTTTTGGAAAGGATGTTATTATCCACCCATTCTATTGCCGAGATATGTCTATTTCTGACAAATGAACTGTTCTCGTCATAAAAATTAACTCACATGGAAAGAAATATAAAACTCGGAAAAATCTTTTAACTTTTGTGACAGAACGCTACGGAGGGGGTCACGTGACCGCCGATATCACGTGATTCGCGCATGCGCAGAACGGTGGTTGATGTGCATTAAAATCGGGGAGGATTAAAAAAGTATAATCAACATTAGGCTAAAACCAAGTATTGTTTCTTGTTTTGAAGTTATTCAATTAGTTTGAGAACTTTTTGATCACCCCTCGTATTTGTTTAAAGTTATTTTCTTGCTTCAAAATTAAAAGTCATTTAACGGATGCATTCAAAATGATAATCAATTTATATTTACATCTTGAAATTTTGCTGACACTACTCGTTGGTTGTGACGTCATTGGAAGTCCCATGTGATATATGCTGGATTGGCCATACCAGACTAACAATTCCTCTCCGGGAGCAATGTCCTGAAAAAGGAAGAGACGGGGAATTAAAATAAATTTCCTCCATATAAAGACTTTTTCTGTAAAGAATCGGCATGTAAATTTGGTCTAACAGCCTTCAAGGTTTGCGTACTTTCTAATTAGAGAGACAACTGTCATATGACTACATGTTAATGACTAATATATGTCTTTAAAATATTGTGAAGTAAAAACGACATTTTTGTCAAAGTTTGTTCTGAAAGATATGCCAATATTGTGTAAATTTTAATTATTAATTATAGTTCGAAGATTATAATCGTTAAAGCAAAGTTATATCCGATTTAACGTGGAGAAGGGGGGGGGCTTACGAACAATCATTTGCAGATCCCTTAAATTCCCTATTATCCTGATATACCTTAATAGCTCTGTAGAAAATATGCCTGTCGATCTGTGTTAACTCTAAATTCTGCTCACGATCACTTCTTGCACATTGGACACAAGTTAACCAACTGGAAGGATGCGAGTCCGAACCCCCGTCAACGTAAAACGCCACCTCTCCCCTTTCGTCAAATACCTTTAATAAAATTATTTTAAAACATGTAGATAAAAATTGAATAAATATCATAGCTGAAAACAAAGCTTTAGCAGATTTTTATAGATATATTTTTTTAAAGTTTGAGTCTGAGACTCTCACCTCCCACGTGTTCTTGTTATGAACACTGTTGTCTATTTCTCCAAACAATCTTCCAGTATATGGACCCATTTCTGTTCCTCTGCGGATCCAAAGTTTTGAGAATACACCAAAACTTGATCCCGGAATTGTGGACCGCTGGATGCATACCTGTCTTGGAACTTGGGGAAAAAAGACGTATTTCATTATACTTAATGGCTTTCACAATGTCAAGTTTCGTATATTAAATATTTAATGAGAATAATGGACTTCATTATCTTATTATCTGGGTGTTAGAAGGTAGCAAACAATATTTAATTCAGTTTAAGGTTTTTTAAACACATGAAAAACATTTAAAAACAAATTCAAATTAGAGATCTTGTCACCGGATTGATGATAGAAAACCGTACTGAACTGTGGAGGCGCAAAAAGGATACACAGTGGTGGACTGCACTATACAGTGGGACGTATAGTAAAGTACAAGGATGTACAGAAATTTACAGTGGGTTCGTACTATGAATTACTGCAGGTACAGGGATTTTGTACAGTGGCTGTACAGTGTTTATGCAGAGAAAAGCAGTGTACTTACAAACTGGGTTACAAAGTTAATTAATCAGATTTTTCAGATTTCGCGGAATTTTAAGACCAAAAGTGCAATATTTATTGAAGCAAAGTTTCTAATTCTACTAAAATTACAATAGGAATTAAAACAGGGTTTGTACACGGAAGAGTGCTATTTTTAAATACAACCCCCCTCCCCCCCCCCCCTTAAAAAATCTAAAACATCTAAAGCTGAACTAATTTAGGAAATTTTGAATACAGATAAATTTGAAACACTTGCACTGAATTTCTATCTATAAAAACTTAATTTTTCATAAAACAATCAATAAATCAGTATGATATTCATCAACAACGTGTTTTACGAGTTCTTGAAAAATAAATGTTAGCAAAATTAGATAAATATATGTACATAAATTTAAAAAAAAAAAGAACATTGCACTAATTTTTTTTTTTACAGTAAACATAACTAAACATTTTTTTTTCATTCGATTTCTTCATCCTCGCTAAAATTTCAAATTCTGATCACTTCCCTTAAATGTCTTGTACATCATAGATTGTTTTTTTACCAGGTTTGTAAGGAGCATTATCAGTTTTGGTCAAATTTACTTCTGTTTTCTGATGTATAGTTCTGTTTCTAGTGTACTGATAAAATAAGTAATTACTGAACATGCTGAAGGAGGATGCATCCCCCACTCCACAGGCCAGCTCCTACAGACTTGACTAAAAATCTCCTTACCTAATGGAGGAAGAAAACTAGACTCCGTGTTCACTGATTCGCTCTGTAGATTTCCGTATAAGTAGGATTTCAAGTCTTCCTCAGAAAACATTACTTTAGCCATTTTGATTTCTTTGTAGAAGCAGTCAAAAATTAGAAATTTATCCCGAGAGTTCAATTTTATTTGTGAAAAAAAAATCAAATTAAAATCTAAAATTAGTTGTTGTCGTTAATTTTTATTGGCCATTTTCTTGTGATAATGTATGCTAATGAGAAAGGGGAACCCGCCTATCCTAGGAATCTTTATTTTTGTAAGAACTGTCGAGTACCCGTATATATCGATCAAATGAAATGTGAAATTAATGCCAAGAAACGTATGTTCAAACTTTGTGAAGATGGGAAAAAGGACTAAGTTAAAAAAAAAATCACGAAAAAAATCAACCTTGCTTGGTGCACTTTCCCCCAATTCTATTTTTTATACGTATAAATTTCAATTTATACCAACAGTAATTTTTGCCTCAAAAGTCCATAGGAAGTTACTTTTAATATATTTGCAAACTTTAATTTAATTTTCAAATGCAGTAAATTTTTACAAGTTGTAGAAATATTTCTGTCCTACTTTTCAGAATTTAACAAAACAAATGATATCTTATTTGGTAAAGGGGGTAGGGTGACTTACGGTATGGTAGGTCCTAAATAACAAAATTAATCTAGATCTGCCACATGTATTTGCCAAACAAAATTCACGAATAATAATTTGCTCTTGTGTCATTTTTCGTTGTATTTTGACACCAACGACACAAATAATTTGAAATCAATTTGGACAGTAAGACAAATATTTTAGTAAAAGTGAACTGAATACGATGTGGAAGAGATACAAATGAATTAACGTATTGATTTAAATCTAAAGAGGCAGAGAAATGGCTACTGATCAAAAGAATTTCTGTTAAAAGTATTTTACTTTGATACAACTAAATCATTAAAAGTCGTCCATGTTCATTAAAAGCAAAATTTAAAAATACATACTTTTAACTCGATATACGTATGAATTATATCGAGTTAAATGTATGTATTTCTAAATTTTGAAATTCTATGAAGAATGCAACGTTTACATAATTAACAAATTTGAACATACCAGTACATGTATGTAAATACGTAGTTTTTTTTTCAAATGATATAAATTTTTCATATTATGTACAAGTCTTTAATTCTAAGTGCAACTTAAAATTATAGCAACATAACAAAACGCTTTTTGATAAACGATAGAGAGAAAAAAAGAACAAGAGGCCCATGGGCCTTATAGGTCACCTGAGCATTATGCAACAACTTTCCAGTGATTGAATTCGATTCATGTTTTAAGCCAGATGCTATGGCATTCACAATTTTGAAAGAGGCACCATTGATCATCATAACAATACACTTAGCAGTTGCTTAGTTTGTTTACTTAATGCCCATACCCAGGGTAGGGGAGCAAAAAATGCATTTCAACTAATCAGTAATATTCAGCAATAATCAGTAGTGCCCCTACCACACATGAACCCCTGACCCTTAGGCCTTGATATTTGATTAATACCAAGGAGCAGATTTCAAACCATTCATTTATTTTCAGTATATTAGTAGAGCCCCCCCCCCCTCTTCTATGGTACCCCTGGCCCTGGGGCCTTGAAATTCACAATTCTGGAAGATTAAAAACTATATAGGTAGTTCATCTACTTAATACCCTGGAGCAGAGAAGAAAATTTTCAAAGACTTAATGTATTTTCACTATATAAAATAGAGCCCCGCCCTGACACCAGAACCCCTGACCCTGGGGCTATAAAATATACAATTTCCATTCCTGCTCATCATAACTATGTACTTAGTTTGTTTATTTAATTCCTAGGAGCAGAGAAGATTTTCAAAGAATTCATGTATTTTCACTATATAATATTTGAGCCCCGCCCTAACACCAGAACCCCTGACCCTGGGGCCATAAAATTCACAATTTTGGTATATATCTTGATCATCATAAAACCCAGCAGCAGAGAAGAAGATTTTTAATGCATTTTCACTATATAATCAATAGAGCCGCACCCTAACACCAGAACCCCTGACCCTGGGGCCATAAAATTCACAATTTTGGTAGAGGCACTCTTGATCATCATAACTATGTACTTAGTTTGTTTATTTAATACCCAGGAGCAGAGAAGAAGATTTTCCAAGAAATAATGCATTTTCACTATATAATCTATATAGCCCCGCCCTAACACCAGAACCCCTGACCCTGGGGCCATAAAATTCACAATTTTGGTAGAGGCACTCTTGCTCATAATAACTATGCACTTAGTTAGTTTATTTGATACCCAGGAGCAGAGAAGAAGATTTTCAAAGAATTCATGTATTTTCACTATATAATCAATAGAGCCCCGCCCTAACACCCCCCTGACCCTGGGGCCATAAAAAAAATTTTGGTAGAGGCACTAATGCTCATCATAACTATGCACTTATTTTTTATTTAATACCCAGGAGCAGAGAAGAAGATTTTCAAAGAAATAATGCATTTTCACTATATAATCTATATAGCCCCGCCCTAACACCAGAACCCCTGACCCTGGGGCCATAAAATTCACAATTTTGGTAGAGGCACTCTTGCTCATAATAACTATGCACTTAGTTAGTTTATTTAATACCCAGGAGCAGAGAAGAAGATTTTCAAAGAATTCATGTATTTTCATATATAATCAATAGAGCCCCGCCCTAACACCAGAACCCCTGACCCTGGGGCCATAAAATTCACAATTTTGGTAGAGGCACTCTTGCTCATCATAACTGTGTATTTAGTTGGTTTATTTAATACCCAGGAGCAGAGAAGAAGATTTTCAAAGAAATAATGCATTTTCACTCACCTAATTATTTAGCCCCGCCCTAGCACTAGAACCCCTGACCCCAGGGCCATGAATTACAATTTTGGTAGAGGACTCATTGCTTATTACAATCATGCAAACAGTTTGACTGCTTGATGTCCAGGAGTAAAGAAGAAGATTTTTTAAGACTGCATTAATTTTAGTGGTTTTGGCCCCACCCCTCAGGCCCCAGGGGGGCAGGGATTATGAAATTCACAATTTTTGTTCCCCTTCACCCATAGATGCTTTGTGCCAAATTTGGTTGAAATTGGTTCAGTGGTTGGAGAGAAGAAGCTGAAAATGTTCAAATGTTAACGGACAACGCACAACGCACGACGCACGACGACAGACGAAAACGGATAGCAATAGGTCACCTGAGTTTACTCAGGTGACCTAAAAACAGAAAAAGGATAGAAATAAAAGTCCAATATGGCACATTTATGTTTCTTTGTCGAAACGGAGAATGCATTTAGAAACGAAAGAAAAAATCTTTAATTATACACTGTTTACAAAAAATATAAAATTACAGCTTCCAAAGTCCAAATTTAGCGAATTCAGAAATTTCTCCCAAGATATGCGGGTCGTTTAGTTTCGTTGAAGATGCGGGTGTATTATCACAAATAAAACCATTGCTTTTTATTAATTAGTCCCAATAAATGGTTGTTTTATTTCAAGTCTTGAGTTTTTTGTTAAAATCATTATCACGCTACATATATTAGAGATGTTTTCACGCTTTTCAAATTAGCAGTCCCAAATAACAGGAACATCAAAAGCACGCCATGAAATCCCTGAAGTGAAGTTTCCAAATCTCTGTCATGCGGGATTATCATATCTCCATATGCGCCAAGTAACCAGTGAAAATCGCATGAATAATGATAAGATCAAACCCCATACAATGGCTCCCATCCAAGGAGAATTTGGGAGGAAGAAAGCACAAAGTGCCCCTATATATCATATTCCGCAATCGAAAGATCGTGTATCGAATAAAAGCAAATTAATATTTCCAGTCTGACAAACACCAAAAGAACAATGTTACGGATCTATAAAGACAGAGAAGTTACGAAATCTAGTGAGGTCATTAATGGCCGGGCCAGAACAATGAAGACCTTATCGTGGTTATCAGTATTTTAGCGCTTTTAATTAAGCCGATATCTTTATAAAATGGCGACAATTTGTTATATTAATTAACGAGATTATTATCAAAACAAGTCCATTTTTATAGTACACGTGTGTTCGAGATCGCGTTTAATTTGGTGTAGCCTTTATATGATATCAAACGCATTAAATGAACGATAAATAAATCCAAGTTAAAAATTACGTGTAAATATTTTTATTATTAATATATATACTCTGCAATGCTTTACAGAAAATTCATTAAGTACAACAAATAAAATACGACTACAATGCTCAATTAAATATGTCAGATGCACCAGACTTTTATATAAAATAGTTACATGAAACTAGAAAAGTTGTTCTATAATATATACAGTCATAATTTGATATATTCATTCAATGACAAGCACTATGGCTATAAGCAGGCACGTAGTATTAGGCTAACATCCCAATTTTCCAAACATAACATTGACCCCCCCCCCCCCTCCCGTTTTGTTAATAAATGGTAATTTGCATTGTATATCTTTACTATTTGGCTGTGAAAAATTTCAGGCAAACTTGTCTTTTTTCTGGGTGCCCAAATTTCCAAAAGATACTATGCACACATGTCTGATTATGATATACAAATCGTTTCAGATCATCAAAAGAAGCATGTTTTTTTTGTGAAAAAAGACAATAGAAATCACCCTAGACTTTGGAAATTTTCAGCATACTTTATTTGGTATTGTTAACAACTTAAGTCTAAAACTTTCTGATTGCGGAAAGTAGTGAGAACTGATTAAAACCAAGTAATAAAACCAAGTGCGTTAGCTATTATCCGCAGGCCAATAAATTTCCGTATTTCAAAAAAAAAATTTTTTGTCCACAAACCACTACGACTTAGGAGGTACACTGTATCCATCAATGCTAAATATATTGTGATGAGACTTTAACCACTAATTGAGTCAAATGTGAAGATCTCATAAAAATAGCAAACACATACGTACATTGTACATAGAAAAATAAATTTTTCATTCAAGCACACCTCTCAAGCGTCCCTACAGCTACGATGAGCTAAAATGCATCTATACATTTGAACATTGGACCAGAATTTCTTATAAATACAGTCACGTTCAGGTGAAATTCAGAGTGGCTCCCCAGGCCCCAGATGCGATCAGAGCGCCACCTGGTGTGAAAGCACAGTGTTGTGCTACGTCTGTCTTTCCCTGTGAATAAAAAATATAATTTTTCGATAAACATATTTATGTAGAAGGATTAAAATCCGTTCCTAAAATTAATACCGGTAAGCTTTCTGCCACATCATATTTCAAATAGGCCTATATATTTGTCGAGTATCATACACACAATCGCTTGTGTTTCTAGGAATGAAGCGAACTGGTTAACGTCACACATTTCATTCTTGTCTTGATTAATGTGACTCCACTGTGTTAGAGTGAGTCATGTGCATTTTTCTTGGTTTTTGTTAAGATTTGCTCCTGCTCTAAAATACATGTAGAATTATGTCCAAGAAAGGTACATATTGTAGATACAGTGGTCCGCTTACCTCCAGAACACTGATACAGGAACCCTCGGCCACGTCCCAGATTCTGACCGACTCATCGTCACTAGCACTGGCCACGTAGATCCCGTCCGGGGAGAAAGCCAGGGCCTGTACCCACCCCTCGTGCCCCTTCAGCACGTGGATAGGCTGGCCATTCCGGGGATTCCATAAACGGACCGTCTTATCCCAGGAACCCGAGGCCTAGAACGGTATATATTTATATAGAGTTACACAAACTAGTTAGCCTTTACAAATGGTTAAAATGAATTCCAAATTCCAGGCCTAAATGACTGCAGAAGAAAACATACCAGCATTCCGTCCTTGGAGAACACCACTGAATGGATGTTCCCTTTGTGTCCCTCTAACACCGTCACTTTGTCCAAGCCGTCCGGACTGTTCAGCGTCCACAACCGGACAGTGAAGTCCCAGGAACCAGTGGCCTACACGAGAAAACACTTAACATAAAAATACAACATAACAAAATGTTGATTTGGTGTTATTTTACCTTTGTAATACATTTCCTTTGGCAGAGACACATTCACTAACGCATTTATTTACTCTCCATAGGCATCAGAAGCAAATTGAAATTGGAGAAAAAGCCCAATATCGGTATTTTATGGCAATGTTATATCTATCTTTGTGAAGAAAATGGGGGTTACCCCCCCTCCCAGGTGAGTAAGAATGTTTATCCCAAAAAATTGTAAAAACTTGGCATTTGTGTTTGCAAGATTTTCGAAATACTAAGTACACATATCCTAGTGATTTGAAGCTTTTTATAAGAAACTCAAGATGAATATCTAACTCACCAGCCACCTTCCATCAGGGGAGAAGGTCACTGACTGTACCAGACCATCATGTCCCGTAAAGATCCTGATCGGGACACCTCTCTGTAAAACATTGTAAGTGAGTTTATAGTGTCAGAAAATTCAGATTCAACAACGAGAAAAAAAGAAATGTAAACAGAAATGGCGTATAAAATCACCTGTTTATCCCAGAGAATGGCTGTTCTGTCCCAGGAACCTGAGGCCAAATGTTCACCGTCAGGGGAGAAAACCACAACCTCAACACTCTTAGAGTGACCTATAATAATTAACCAATAGAGTGTAACCTATAATAATTAATAAATCAACTCTCTTAGAGTGACCTACAATAGTTAAAAAATCAACACTCTTAGAGTGACCTATGATAATTAATAAATCAACACTCTTAGAGTGACCTATAATGATTAATAAATCAACACTCTTTGAGTGACCTATTATCATTAACAAATCCACACTCTTAGAGTGACCTATAATAATTAAGAAATCAACACGCTTAAAGTGACCTATAATAGTTAACAAATCAACATCTTAGAGTGACCTATAATAGTTAAAAAATAGAGTGTGACCTGTAATTATGAACAAATCAACACTCTTAGAGGGACCTATAATAATTAACAAATCAACACTCTTAGAGGGACCTATAATAATTAACAAATCAACACTCGTAGACTGTCCTACAAAATCAGCACAAATTAACAGATTATCTTGGAGTGTCCAACAAAACCAACACTATCTACTGTCTACTATCTTGAGTTTTCTACAATAACTATCACATGTAACAATCTTAGAGGGATCTTCAATAGTTGAACTTTATTAGCACTCTGAGAGCTCTGTAATAATCTTTTTTATTAACAGTCATTGAGTGCCTCACAATAGATAATACTGTAAATCAACACTCTAAGACTGACCTAAGAAAATAACAATATGTCAACACTCTAAGAATGACCTACAATAACTAACACATACAATACTCTTAGAATGACCTACACTTACACATACATCACTCTTAGAATGACCTACACTTACACATACATCACTCTTAGAGTGACCTACAATAACTAACACGTACATCACTCTTAGAATGACCTACAATAACACACACATACAACACTCTTAGAATGACCTACAATAACTAGCACATACAACACTCTTAGAAGGACCTACACTAACAAATACATCACTCTTAGAATGATCTACAATAACTAACACATAAAACACTCTTAGAATGACCTACACTAACAAACACATACAACACTCTTAGAATGACCTACAATAACTAACACATACAACACTCTTAGAATGACCTACACTAACACATACATCACTCGTAGAATTACCTACACTAACTAACACATACAACACTCTTAGAATGACCTACACTAACAAACACATACAACACTCTTAGAATGACCAACAATAACTAACACATAAAACACTCTTAGAATGACCTACAATTACCAACACATACAACACTCTTAGAGTGACCTACACTAACACATACATCTCTCTTGAGTGACCTACACTATATATCACATACAACACTCTTAGAGTGACCTAAAACAACATACATCACTCTTAGAATGACCTACACTAACACATACAACACTCTTAGAGTGACCTACACTAACACATACAACACTCTTAGAATGACCTACACTAACACATACATCACTCTCAGAATGACCTACAATAACTAACACATAAAACACTCTTAGAATGACCTACAATTACTAACACATACAACACTCTTAGAGTGACCTACACTAACACATACATCACTCTTAGAGTGACCTACACTAACTAACACATACAACACTCTTAGAGTGACCCACACCAACACATACATCACTCTTAGAATGACCTACACTAACACATACAACACTCTTAGAATGACCTACAATAACTAACACATACAACACTCTTAGAATGACCTACACTAACACATACATCACTCTTAGAGTGACCTACACTAACTAACACATACAACACTCTTAGAGTGACCTACACCAACACATACATCACTCTTAGAATGAACTACACTAACACATATATCACTCTTAGAATGACCTACATCAACACATACATCACTCTTAAAGTGACCTTCACTAACACATACATCACTCTTAGAGTGACCTACACTAACTAACACATACAACACTCTTAGAGTGACCTACATCAACACATACATCACTCTTAGAATGAACTACACTAACACATACATCACTCTTAGAATGACCTACACCAACACATACATCACTCTGAAAGTGACCTACACTAACACATACATCACTCTTAGAGTGACCTACACTAACTAACACATAGAACACTTGTAGAGTGACCTACACCAACACATACGTCACTCTTAGAATGACCTACAATAACTGACACATAAAACACTCCTAGAGTTAGAATTTATACAACACTCTTATTAGGGCTGGGTATTGGCCTGAGATTTTGTATTGCGATATATTGCGATATTTTAAACCGTATTGCGATATGTATTGCAATATTTTCAAGGTAATAAAAATCATTTTCGTACTAAATTTACGTTAATTTACATGCAGAATGTACATAACTATGATAAGTAACCAACATGGAAAAAAATCTTGTTGATTTCAGTTAAGTTATGCTCTGAAATGTTCCAACAAAACAAATTCTGACTTACTGTCTGGCTTAATAACAAACTTTCATAAGTCCATTTTTATTTTTAATGACAAATTTCCTTAATCTTAGTATATTGCCAATATATCGATATTACAAAATCGTATTGCGATACGATATTCTTTGTCACTGTATTGCAATATATTGAAATATCGATATTATTGCCCAGCCCCAACTCTTAGAGTGACCTATAATAACCAAGTTTACTTACATAATATGAATGATTTAATTTAAGAAAACATAATATACAGTACCTAATAACTCATGTATTAACTCTGCATCCCTGGTCCGCCATAGCCTTAAGCTTTTATCATAAGATCCACTGGCAAAATATTTACTGTCAGGACCAACTGCTACACTCTTTATTGCACCTAGTCAGATAAAACAATTCATATTAAGATCTGATTCAGGAAAATCTTAAAAAGATAGGTGTTATGTCACTTAAGTTTAGAATTATTTTGTGTAAAATACTTAGTACCTGTATGTCCTTTGAGTTTACACACCATCTCCCCCGTCTTACAATTAAACACTCTGACTCGCTGGTCATCACTTCCTGTTACCAGAAACTGAAAATCGGGAGAAAATGCCACACAGTTGACCTGTAAAAATAAAACAGAATATATTGTAAATTGAAAAGATTTCCAAAATCAGACTGTTTGCTTCAGTGAGGGTCTACATGTAGTATATAAGTAAAGATTCTGCTAAATCATTTTGCTCTATGTCTGAATTGTGCTTAATTGTTATTTTAAGGAGGCTAGGGGTCAACAAATTAACCATCAGATATAACTTTTTCTTAAAGATATAGATATAATATCTTCAGCTGTCAACTATCATTCGTGAAAGAAAATTTCATACATTTTAATTTTAAAATTGATCATTTTGTACATCTTTATATGGAGCTCTCCTACTAAAGGAGATCAATATAGCCTGAAAATGACCACAACCACCCAGATTTCATACATTTAACATTGTGGCATTGCATTTCCTCTTGGACTTGATCTCCAATTGTCTACTGGATTTTTTTCTTATCAGAAGATTGACATAAAATCCATGTTTCTATATCAAATCACTTTATAGGATAAAAATTTCTTCTGTTTAATACGAAGTTATTATCATTCATTGTTTGATCTGCACTTGGTTACAGCTTAATTAAGCTTACTCTATCAGAAAACTTTATTACTCTTGAGCTATAGCCAGTTGATTTGGCATTAACTTGGCCTATTTGGGGATGGGTTCATTGGTAGTCACTCCCATAACACAAATGAAGTCTAAAGTCTGTATATTTAACCACTCTAGTTTGACTGTCATGTTTGCTGTTCACATATAAGATTTACATAATTTGCCGTTTTAAGCATATGAGAGAAAAACACCACCAAAGTTTTTTTTGTGTGTGCAACTGAAAATGATAAGTTTTAAAAGTAAATTAAAAAAAATTTAAAAAGAATGAATGCAGTGATTGCATAAAATATATGTAAACCATCATAAAGTAATATTCTTTCCAATTAAATAATTTTATTCAAATTTATTAAATTTTATTTGATTAATTCTTCCTATTACTAATTACTTGTTCATTATTATAAACAGCAAATGCTCAAACAAAATGTGTCATTCATGCAAGCAAATGATTTGTTTATGCTGTATTTTCTGCTTTAGTTTTGTAGTACCTGTAATTTAATCTTTCGGATATTTTGCTGTTCCTGTAATTTAGTGTAATTACATTGATTTCTGACTAACTATAAATCAAAGGTGTCAATAGGGATCAATCTTTAATCCAAACAGAACCTCTTTCTCATAAAGATGGAAGAAAACAGAAATATTATGCTAAATTGATTGTTGTTTTATTGATTTTAGAAGATGTTTTGGCAATACACTGTTCTTTAAAATATTACATATATAAATTATTAACCATGTTAACAAAGCAGAAACAAATAAAACTAAATTTTTCATAAGTCTTGTTGATGTAATCTTTCTAATCAATTTGTTGACAAATTTAGTTAAATCAAATTAGCTGAAATATTATGTAAATTTTTTTATTTTATATTTTAAATAACCATAAAAAAAATTATTTTTATGTCAAAAGTGAAACAATCATTTTTCTCTTTAATAAAAAAAAAATTGTTTGTCAATGTCTTTAAAAAAGTATTGTGACACGATAGCGGTGTTTTTCTTTGAAGTTTACTGTTCTGTATTAGCAATACAGAACGGGACTGTGGTGGGCGGAGCTACTTTCCGTTCTGCATTATTGTTAACAGTATTGCATTTGCCAACTATTCTGTATCTAAAATACAGCACGGTCTAAAAATAAATCTGATTCAATTTAGCAAAGCTAGCACGTACACATAATAAATACTGATGTTTTCCTTGTAGAATGTCAAAATTTCTAAATCACTTTTTAAAAACTTATTCCACACAGAATCTACGCGTAATTTCGATCGAAAGTAAAAAGAAAAATCACAATAACGGAAAACATCCTCTGTACCTAATTTTGAACAATCCACACGAATCGGAAAATTCGCTATCACGGAAAAAATCCTTCTCGCTGACGACAGCCACACGTCTCTTTCACTTCGTTTTTAATGTCGCAATTCAATTTGAAAATAAAAATCCGTGACATCAAAGTCCATCGAAGAATTTTCTGTAAATCCTGTTTTTGGAAATCTAGTTAAACCGGGATTTTAAGACCACTGAAATAAATTATGATAAATCTCCATCTACAATTATAACAATAGATCCCAACAATTACGGTTAAATCCTCCAATTTATCCATTAAGACTGACTATCACTCGATTACGTCTACCCCGTTAAATTATCAAAACAAATCTGACCGAATTTTACGTTTTCCGTGGAAATATATATATATACTGCGGATGCGTACTCCCCGTCGGGGCCTCATCTAAAAACTCTGGCGGAAGTTTGGATGCTAAAAGTTATAAAGTGGGCGGAGCTATTTTTGATTGATCGTGTCACAAATCATTTAGAGAACTCGACAGGTTCTGTATTTAATACAAATTTGGGGGCGGAAATTGCTTTCGCACTCGTCTGCCCCCAAATTTGTATCTACGATACAGAACCTGTCGAGTTCTCTAAATAATACATAGATTTGTTTTCCATCTGAATATTCCTGTTGAGTGCCTGTAACTTGATCTAGTTCACACACTTCCATTTGACAAAGACGCAATAAACTAGTACTGGCATCATGGTTAACTGAACACAATTAATAATAAAAACTTAAAAGTTCAAAGATGTTTATAAAAATGGTTTGTTTAAAAACTTTGTCCTTGAAAGATTGTATATTTTGTTTGCACTGTTTTTTTTAAAATATACATACAATAAGTATTATCATCAATCAGTGCCCCGGAGAGCATGTTCCTTTAAGTTTAAATCAAAGTGTGCCTTGATAAACTAAAGCAATAAAAATACTGGTACAGATCATTCCAACAACTTTAGAATTTTTTGATATATGGATTTATTCAATTTTTGATAAATTTACAGGCAAGGGATATTGGAAAACTTCCAATACATGGTCAATGTATTCAAAACATGTAATTAATTCTGTATCTTCCATTCTAATTAGTATTCAGTAAATCAGTTTAAAAGTAAAATAATGCAAATTTCACTGCCACTTCAATTATTTTTATTTATCTCAATAAAATGATCAATAAATCGAATGTTAAATGTTTTATATCTGAGAATTACATTAAATGTTGAATTTTTCATGTTACGGATGCTCTTATACAAAAAAGTCAAAATGATCATGGTTAACACACAGGGGCTTGTGTAGAGAAAATAAAAGTTAGAAATTTAGTACCTCGGAGAAAAAAAAAACATTAGAAACACAAAAAATTCTCTAAAACGTTGGTTTTATGTGTTTGCTACCCTGCCATTTTTTATCCCTGTGACCATAATTTAAAATCAAATTCTATCACTTAATGAACAAGAATTTCCCTTACCTCATCCTTGTGTCCTGAAAATTTGGTCAGGTCAACATGATTTAAATCTCTAGGACCCTTAAACATCCTTCTCAATTATCGTCATACTGATTTAATAAACAAGATATGGTCTAATATATCTCATTTCAAGCGGTTTTGCCCAAAATTGACCAGAGTGACGAGAGTCATGTTTACACTGGAAACGCTACGCTATTTACAGAATACCGATCCCGATCCAATTCCAACACAGTTGGCAATCCTCGACTGACTCCGCTATTCAAACTTAAATGACGTCCATTAAACTATAAGTCGAAATATTGAATAGGAAGTATTTTTTTTAAAAAATGCACTTGAATTTTAAACCATGACTTTTTACAAGTAATTTTATTAAATACAATTTCTGTTAATATAGTTTCTTTAAAAGATTGAATACGCTTTAAACAGGTCCAGCACAACACCCCGATAAAGGTATATAGCTTGATAAAGCTATATAGCTTTATCAAGGTATTTAAAATACCTTGATCAAGGTATTTTATGTAATGAAAATTCAAAAAAAATCTTTAAAAATTAAATACTGAAAGTCGAGTTCTGAGTTTTTGTCAATGTGTCTACTCGTGCATGAAAAACACTCTGGTATCAAAAAGAAAGCATAAAATAACGTCTCCTCACACGACACGTTTTTGTACTGATTTGTTTGTGTTTGAGTACTTTACATGCATGGGTGAATTTACTGACAACAACTCAGAACTCGACTTTCAGTAATTAATTTTTAAATAATTTTTTTGAATTTTCATTCCATAAAATACCTTGATCAAGGTATTCTAAATACCTTGATAAAGCTATATAGCTTTATCAAGCTATATACCTTTATCGGGGTATTGTGCTGGACCTGTTAAAGGCCGAGATTTTTAACCGTACGGTTTTCTCAGGTATGCTTCGCGAAGTATTGCTCAGTGAAAACCTCAGTCGGTCCCCTTCAGACGAAATAATAAATTAATAATTAAATTATGAAGTTTCCATGTTTTTATCAAGAATGAATAAACACAAAAACGCGTTTTTTTTAGCTGCAATAATGTAGCCCTTTCCCCCTCCCCCTTTTTTTTGTTGGGGGGGGGGGGGAAAGAGGGCTAAACTCCTAAGTAAACTCGAAGTAATCTTTTTGACTATCTTTTTCGACTTGATTTAGACATCATAGATGTACACCTACTGCTATGGGGCAACGAAAATCTCTCAACTGAAGTAAACATCGGCATTTTTGCCGCTGTTCATAAATTTATAAATGAATCTTGTAGATTTAGCTAGATATATTACTGACTCTTATTTTTACACGTTTTTGCTACTATTTTGCGTGACAATTACTATGTGTTTTTTTTAAGGAGATGAACTAGTAAGTTGTTAGAACTTGTTTCTTATCCTTTTGCTTGTCAATAAAATATGTTCAAAACAAAACAACTCCTACGGATCTCCGAAATGGTGCAATGCGAGAGTGATTCACTCCCGCACAAATTTCGGCTCAAAATGTCGGTATATGACTATTTTAATTAACTTTTCTTACTAGACACCCAAAATGTAGTTATGCAAGACATAAATCGATCCAAAAATACACAGAACGATCCATATATCGGTTATTTTTCGAGTATCAACAAATAAATAAAAGAAATAAAGTAACTCATAAGCAACGTTTAGTGAGTTTGTGTTAAATAAATTTTCATTAGCTCCGCAGGCAAAGCTTATAATAATTTATCATGTTGTAAATTTTGAATTTTTAAGCTGTATTAATTAAACATGCAGATAAATAGAAATAAATTTAAAAATGTTTACTTTTCTTTAAAAACACTTAAAAGTTGTTAAAATAAAGATTCTGACACTTTCAGACCAGAAAAAAACACGTGCAAAACAGTTTTATGTGGTTATCACGGCGTTAACTGGTGAGGGACAAGCAAAACCGACCCCATAAAAAAATAAAATGGAGGCTTGTTACATACATGTAGACTTCTAGATATCAATGGAAAGATAAAGTTTTAAATTTTATAAATATCCAAGTATATTACATTATTACATTCATCAATTACTAGTACCGGGTAGGTAATATTTGACACATGAAACATGGAGGATATTGATTTTTTTTTATGCATCGATTTTCAGTGCAAGGTCCATGCTTTTTTAGCCCTCTTACTCAACAAAAACAGAAATAATCTGACAAAATAAGTTTCACATAATGCATTTCACATAACATTAGTCCTCCAAGGTTTTCTTTCAGTGTGCTTTTAGGGTACATTTGCCAGCTTTTGAAAGAGTTACATTTCATTACCTGCTACTTGACTCATGCAATTCTACACATGTGAAAACCGGATGTTTTGGGAGTTATCCCAGTTATTAAAAAGTCTCACAAAAAAAAATCTCTCAAAAATGCACATTTTTCTTTTAATATTAAGATAAGACTACTTTATGCGAATAAAAACAAACAAGAGATGTTTGTAAAACACTTATGCCTCCCTCCCCCAAAATTGGAACTTTTCCAAGTCCAAAAGGGCATTACTCTGTCAAAAATGGTGCGATTGTACCCAAAACAGAACTTGACCAAGATATTTATCTGATAAATCTGTATACCAAATTTCATTTCAGTATGTGAAACCTCTGCAAAGAAAATGAAAGGAAACTGCAAAGAATTGGAATTTTTTCTAAGTCCAAGAGACAAAACTCTGTCAAAAATGGCGCAATCGTACCCAAATCAGAACTTGACCTAGATATTCATCTGATAAATCTGTACGCTAAATTTCATTTCAGTATGTCAAACGGTTGCGAAGAAAATTAACGGAAACTGCAAATAATTAAAATTTTTCTAAGTCCAAGGGGCATAACTCTGTCAAAAATGGCGCAATTGTACCCAAAACACAACTTGACCTAGATATTCATGTGATATATCTGTATATCAAATTTCATTTCATAATGTAAAACAGTTGCGAAGAAAATGAACGGAAACTGCAAATAGTTGAAATTTTTTTAAGTCCAAGGGGCATAACTCTGTCAGAAATAGAGCGATCGTACCCCAAAACAGAACTTGACCTAGATATTCATGTGATATATCTGTATACCAAATTTCATTTCAGTATGTGCAACGGTAGCGAAGAAAATGAACGGAAACTAAATGGACCGACAGACGGATCGACCGACCAACCGACCGACAGACAGCAGCAAAGCAATATGCCCTCCCTTCTTCGAAGGGGGGCATAAAAAGATGCAGTTTTATGTAGACTCCTATATGTAGCAGGAAAATCCCTACCCAGCATGCACCTCTATGGGAACCCACACCCCACCCCTGGATTTAATACGAAACTGTTTAGCTACCTATGGGGTTTTCCCCAAAGATGGCGGTCAAGGGACATAACTTTTGAAAAGTGTGGATTCAACAATTTTTTACGTCATCAGAATAACATCACATAAACAATGGATTGTTTCATTTGGCAAACCTCGTCTAATTCCGTCGCCTTCATCAATTAGATGGCAATTGGAGTTCCTCAGATGGCTCGTACCTCGCACATAACCCCCAAGTGACCGCACCTAAAGGTGTTCTACCATCTTGCTGATTCAGACATGTAATCTTAGAAGCTCTATTTCAATGAATTTCTTCCAAATATCATACATTTGAAATCTGAGTTAACTTTTCTTGCTTTCAAAGCCTACTGAAATAAGGTTGTAATAAAAAAACTATTTACAATGAAAAATTAGACAAAGAACTTCATGCAGAGCAAATAAAGAAATGAGTGACAAGAAAGTTTTCGGCGGAGAAATTATTGATCTGATGCGAATTCTTCCACCAGTCACATCCGAGGTTTGAATGGAGCGCAGCAGGCAATAAGGTAAAGTTTCAAAATCAAATCAACATGACTTTGTTATGAATAAAAGTACGAGTATGTCTTTAAATTTGAAAACTAGAAAAATATTTTTAAAAATTTATGTAGTAAAATGACCTAAATTTATAAATGTTAAAGTTTAAGTCAGGTTTAAAATTCTTTAAGTTTCAGCATTATGACATATAATTTAACAGCTAGATCTAGCCAATCCAGTTAATGTGAAACGTGATCATCAGAAATGTGTATGAAGTCGGAATGCATCATTGGAGCCCGCATGAATTGCCTCTTAAAGACGTGCATCCCCAGAATTTCTACAAGTGTACCAAAGACATCTTTGCCGATAAGGAGATGACAAGAGCATTGGCCACTTCACTCAGACAGGGAGATAGTTCAATATTGTATACATGTAGATTATTCAAAGAGGGGGTAATTGTCGAGTTTAAACGGTTAAAACTTTCAATACTGTACTTACAATTTAATGATAAAATTAAATCTCTCTACGATTGAAATGAATGAGCTCTTAGAAAACTGAAATATAGAATTATACATGTATGAAAATTTTGTTTTTTCTATAGAATAAAAAGACTTCGTCTAAGGCTAGGCGTACAAGTAAGAGGCAATGTCAGCGGCAATAGCCGATGTAAAGAAGAACAATTTATCGATAAGGAAAGCTTCCAAAATATATTGGGTACCAATATCAAGTTTAGGTGATCACGTAAAAGGAAGAATAGAGGATTGAAATAAATTGGGTTGTAAGCCCTTTTTAACACGGAAGATGAAAAAGAGATGATAAAAATTGCAATAAAGAGATCTGAAATGGGAGTCGGGTTTTCAAAACCAAAATTTTAAGATTTGTATCAATTGTATGGGCAATGACTGAGGCTAGAAGAATTCAATTTAAAATGGGAAAACCATCTGAAATGTGGTGGCGTAGGTTCAAATCACGACACAACGACTTCCGTCTTCGCTCCACAGAACCAACGGGGACTATGGGTCATGATGCTATGTCCCGTCAGCGCATAGCCAACTATTTTGAAGAGGTAGGAAAGATTGTTTCCCAACAAGCTTGAAGAGCTTCATAAAAGATTAACCCTCTAGAATTTGGAATATGGAAAAACTGGCGTTAATTTGAACCATACAATAAACAAACTTTTGATAGAAAAAAGGGGGCTAGATCAGTTAATGGGAAAACATCAACTTCCCACAAACTGATCACCGTTATAGCAGAAATGCGGATGGTCTATACTTACCCCTGCACTTAGTTATTCCAGGTAAAACTCAGAGGAAATTGGATGGCTATGACCTAGAGTCAGTGATCTGCAATAAAAGGTGCCAACTTTTCTGTCTCCGATTCGGGATGGACAAAGTATGGAATTGCAAGACTATGGTTTACAGAAAAAATTGAATAACATTGGCATAGCTAGACCACAGTTGTTGGTCTGTGACGGACACAGTTCTCATGACAATGAAGAATTTGTTGATGTAGCAAAACAGAATGACATTATTATTGTCGAGTTGCCCAGTCACACCAGCATCTGGACTCCATCATTCGATAGATCGGTGTTCAAGTCTCTCAAGAGATATTGGAACACCATGTTAGATGATTTCATGAAAAAAAAACAAGGGGTCGAAGTAGGCCACAAACCGTTCCTAATGTAGCATGGCAAGCAGCACTTACTCCATCAACTATTCGAAATGGATTTGCTTCGACTGGCATATACCCCTTTAATCCCCATTCCATTCCAGACGATCACGGTAGAATAGTGCCTGTTCCTTCGCCAAGCGCTCGGCACTAGAAGTGAAAGTCACGGGTCTTTCGGATATGACCTTAACAAGAGGCCCAGGGGCCACATCGCTCACCTGAGCAATTGGATAGGAAAAAGCACATTTGAGATCAGAACTGAAAGTTTACTGAAAGGGGGGGGGGGGAAGGGGGTTTGAATGTTAACCCCCAGGGGTCATGATTTGAACAAACTTGAATCTACACTACCTGAGGATGATTCCCTATAAATATCACTAAGCATGGCTTTGAAGTACTTGAAAAGATTTTAAAAGGTTTCCCTATATATTCCTATGTAAAACTTTGATCGGCCATTAGGCCCTACCCTACCCCCGGGGGTCATGATTTGAACAAACTTGAATCTACACTACCTGAGGATGATTCCACAAGAGTTTAATCTTTCATATTTTCTCAATGGTTCCTGAGAGGAAGATTTGTCCAATATATTCCTATGTAAAACTTTGATCTGCCATTGTGGCCCCACCCTACACCCGGGGGTCATGATTTGAACAAACTTGAATCTACACTACCTGAGGATGATTCCACATGAGTTTCATCTTTCCTGGCCCTGTGGTTCTTGAGAAGAAGATTTTAAAAGATTTTCCTATATATTCCTATGTTAAACTTTTATCGGCCATTTTGGCTCCACCCTACCCCGGGGGTCATGATTTGAACAAATTTGAATCTACACTACCTGAGGATGCTTCCACATGAGTTTCATCTTTCCTGGCCCTGTGGTTCTTGAGAAGAAGATTTTTAAAGATTTTTCCTATATATTCCTATGTTAAATTTTGATCGGCCATTTTGGCCCCACCCTACCCCCGGGGGTCATGATTTGAACAAACTTGAATCTACACTACCTGAGGATGATTCCACATGAGTTTCATCTTTCCTGGCCCAATGGTTCTTGAGTAGAAGATTTTTTAAAAATGCCATTAATTTTTCTCTAATTCATAATTATCTCCCCTTGGAAAAGGGCGTGGCCCTTCATTTGAACAAACTTGAATCCCCTTTACTCAAGGATACTTTGTAGCAAGTTTGGTTGAAATCGGCCCACTGGTTCTTGAGAAGAAGATGAAAATGTGAAAAGTTTACGACAACAACGACAACAACAACGACGACAACGACAGACGACGGACAAATTTTGATCACAAAAGCTCACTTGAGCCTTCGGCTCAGGTGAGCTAAAAACGTAGGTCCTGTGTCACGGTAGGCTTTGGCATGATAAAGAATCCTCACTGCTCAAATGGCCATGAGTGTCCAGTATAGGTCTAAATTTGAAGCCCTTCGCCGGGATACGGTGACGTCTGTGTATGAGTGAAAAATTCTCGATTGGGACATTTAACAATATACTATCAATCATTCCAGACAAGTCGCCCGCCTGGCGCAGTGGTTAGAGTCGCGAAGTAAGGAGTCAAGGAGTCGATCCTTACGTCGCGGATTTGAATCTCGCCTGTTGGACGTGGAGACCGGTCCTTCGGATGAGACCGTATAAACCGAGATACTCCAAATATTTTCCTCCTGTTTCCAAAACAATATAGAGAAGATAAAAACATCACCAACATGTTTGAAAACAAGTTTAATTATCTTTATATGAGTACTTCGTGATACATTAACAAAGGTTAACTCTGTAAATAAAAGTATCGATCCCTTGTATTAGATTTGATTTTGGCACACGAATGGACACTTTAAAGTAGTAGTTATACAAACAATCTAGATGGAATTATTTTACAATACCCTTTATTAGGATACCGTATACATATATCATTATGTAACAATAGAAATTAGAACATATTGGTGTACTATAGACATTCAAATGCTTTTCTTCACAACACACTTCTTTTGTAAAGTGCACTGGAAAATGAGCTAGGAAGCGTAAACATTACACGTATTCAGGCTACATATACAGGTCCACTTGCTTCAGTTTTAAAATACTCCTTTGATTACGTTTATCACAAGCAAATTCGCATACAAATTGTTAAGAAGAAGGTACCGAAGAATGAGGTTTCTAAATTTTGTCCCTAAAGCGCTCTCATTTTTATGTATTTTCTCTTCTACATATTCCTACAATGTAACCGATGAGGATAACCTCATAAAAGATCTGTTTTCGAACTACAATAAAGAACTTCGAGCAGGAAGTGACAGAACTTACCCAGTAAACGTTTCAATTGCCTTCTACCTTTATGCAATTAAGGAATTCGTGGAGTCTAGCAGTAAATTCACGGTTAATGGCGTGTTTTGGACCGTTTGGCGCGACGATAGATTAAGCTGGGATCCTACCAAGTATAATAACATTACTAGAATAATTGTATCTCAAGATAAAATATGGACACCAATGTTGGTAAATATCAACCCGTTCAAAGAAGTGGCTGGACTCAGAAATTACCTTGTAAATATTATTGTGGAAAGTGATGGATCATGCAAATGGACACCTATGCAATCTTTTGACGTCATTTGTGACGCTGATGTTACAAACTATCCATTTGATAAGCAGTACTGTATGCTTAAGTTCCATGCATATAGTCTTGAAGAAGAATGCATGAATGTTACTTTTCGAAGATCAAGAGTTCTTTTATCAAATAACGAAAGTTCAAAAGTTATTTTATCAAATTACGAAGAAAGTGGGTTATGGAAAATTAAAGACACAGAATGCTACTCACAATCCTCTAATCGTTTTTCAGAGGTTATCATAGGCCTTCACTTAAAAAGGAGGTCTGTTTACTACATAGTAGGACTTATTCTTCCCATGACATTTGTTTCTATCCTACAGTCATTCGTTTTCCTACTTCCGAATGATTCAGGCGAGAGGGTAGGCTTTTCTGTAACGGTACTTTTAGCTAGTGTTGTATTCCTGACAATCATTCAAGGAAAACTTCCCGAGTCCTCTGAGCCAAATATTTCCTTACTTGGCCTCCTACTTCTAGGCTTCATCAGTGAAGGAACGCTCGTTACTTTATGCGTGATTCTCAGTTCTAACATCCATCTGTCTGAGGAATCCAAACCTGTGCCAAACTGGGTAAAGGTGGTGTTTTGTTTTAAACCTACGAAAGAAAGAGACACGAATATTTTGAAGGTTGCTGCTGGAGAGAGTTCAAGGAAGAAAGCGTCAGAACTCTGCTCCTGGATTCATATAGCAAGAAAGTTTGACAAACTTTGCTTTATCATTTCCTTGCTTTTGTATGCCACTCAAATATTTATCTATTTTGCAATAGTTTTGTGAAGAATTTAGTTTTCCTTAGTTTATGTGTTGTACGTTTATGCAATGGATATTACTAGTAAAATACTTTTTTTAAATATCAGAATTTATGAATATGTATAGCAATACATATTTTCATTAATTTTTACAATAACTTAAATTAATTTTTGAGTCATTCATTTGTGTTTGAGAAGTGAAAAAGAGGATATTTTAACGTGTGAAAAAATTACCATCTGACATTTGTCTGTTGCCGAGGACTGGAAATTCGGAATTTCTTGGAATTTCAATGTTTATATTTCATTCACTTTTCACTTCGATTTGGACAGAAGAATCGCCTTTCCAACATATCTCCCAGGTGAGCACAAAAATAAACCAAATTGTTGCATCTGTCACACGGTCCCCAATATAAACACTACGGAAACACATCTTGATCTGTCAGGTTGCTATCTTTGACAAATGCAACAGAGCCTAAACTCAGTTTTACTGTTTGGGCTATTCTTTATGTCTGAGAGCCCTGCCTCTTGAGTCTCATCAAGAAAACAATATTCTTATTTATTGTTTAGCTTTCTTCACACTAGTCGGGGACATTTTTCCCCTTTCTGAATTTTGGTCTGACTTCAATATAACTTGGCACACAAGTAGACTGCACTAAGGTACATAATTCTGTATATCGGTTTTTGATTTTGTTGAACGGTGTTGACGTGGTTACTAAAAATTAAATATTTAATAAAAATTTCTTTGAAATTCTTTCGAAATGCTACTCCTCCTACAGTTTTGGTCTGATTTCAATATATAACTTGGCATTCATGTAGACTACACTAAGATACATAATTCTATGTAACAGTTTTTGATTTCGATGAAAGATGTTTCTGTTGTTACTAAAAATAGATATTGATGTGAAATTCTTTCAAAATGCTACATCTCCTACAGTTTTGGTCTGATTTCATTATAACTTGGCACACAAGTAGAGACACTATGATACACAATTCTGCATAGCGGTTTTTGACTTCGATGAACATTATTGCCTTGGTTACTAAAAATAGAAATTTCTGTTAAATACTCTCAAAATGCTACTCCAAGTACAGTTTTAGTCTGATTATAATATAATGTGGCATGCAAGTAGACTACACTAAGAACATAAAGAGACTTAATCAAGGATCAATATTCTATTTATTGCTGTTGTAAAGTTCCAATTCCCAACTCCTTAAGTACTTTAATTTCTCTTCCTTTGTTTTAGGTACAAACCAGTTAGTCCATGAGCCAGACCATGAATTTTTCGGTATCGGTACCATCTTGGGTGAATAATTTTCATAGTTAATTTTTGAAGGACATACATCTCTACCTTCAGAAAATGTATGATAGCATTCAATTGATTGTGGCTTTAATGGTGTATCAACCGTTTATATACACCAACTCAACTTGTTCATTCTCTCAGCCGTGTCTTTGAAAGAAGAAGGTTGATTTTTCAATACGCAATTTCTATCTTATTTTGAATGATATTTTCTTGAAAATTCTTTTGAATGCAGACATGCTATTACCCTGTTTAATCATTATTCAATATTGGCTTTGTAATGAGCTGCCTATATTATATAGGAATATAATTCTACCCTGGATCATAAAAGTGGAATATGCAATTTTGAAATTTTAATCAGCAGAAAGAAATTACTACTTTGACAATTTTCACATGAAAAACATATTGCATGGTCATTTTATTTAAAGACTTTTTATCACGTATTAAGATTCCAAAACATTATTTCAGTAACAAATATATATAGCTTGATTTAATAGTAAATCTTTATCCATATCCTAAAAATGATAACTGAGGGAAAATTCCCTTGATTTACCCTGTGCGTATATTCTTTACTTAACATAGATATTGTGAATATGTCATATCTCATGTATAGCCTTTACGTAAAATGTTTTATTTATTTAATTTCAAGCTAAATCGTGGTGATTGTGGACACTTGTATGTTCATCTAAGTTAAACGTAAAATTTGTTATACATTTTTGACATAAAAATTAAGCAATATATGTGCACAATCATTTGTTTCAATACCCCAGTATATATATGTGATTTGTGGGCAGTGTTTCACGACCTGCAACGGCCTGACGCCCCTTCCCTCCACTTGTCCGGGTAGAAGGAACCCGTACCCTCTTAAGGTGGATCCCTCTAGGAGTGTACTTTCTACACAAAGCGCTGACGGGTCTCAAACCCTTTTGATTGATGGCTTGCTTACGTATAACGTATGTAAAGACTGTGCATCAGCGGACTCTGCGGTAGAAACTGTAATGGTTCAAGGGAGAAAAAGGCAGACACAACAAGCAGCGTGGAATGCTTGGGGCAAGGCAAGGCACATATAGCACGTCTTGGTCATCCACTGTATCTGTCTCCATCGTCTCCATCTCCAGACGTCTTGACATCTGTCTTATCACTGGATCTAGATGGTTGCGAGTGAGAGAGGGAGGTCGGCAACACGAAACACTTCTTCATTTTAATCAAACTCATTGCGCAAGTCATTGATCATCGTCCATCCCTTTCTATCATCCACTCCAAAGCACTGTGGCGAGAGGCGAGCAACAAACATGACAGGTGCGGGTTCACTGGAAGTCGCTTGTTATAGGTAGTACAGACATAACAAAGAGACGCACAACACTGATCACAAGCGAACTCGCAAGATATAACATTGACATCGCGGCTCTCAGTGAAACAAGGATGGATGGAGAAGGTGAACTGTGTGAAAGAGCCGTTGGCTATGCCTACTTTGGGAGTGGACGAGGAGCCAAGGAGAGAAAAGAAGCTGGCGTAGGCTTTGCTATCAAGACGACACCTGCTGGCAAGCTAGTCGTCATATGCAAAGGAGTGAACGACCGCCTGATGACGATGAGACCCCCCCTCACTCGAGGAAAGTTCGCCACTATGTTCCTACCCTGACTAACCCGGAGGAGGCTAAAACAAGTTCTATGAGAACCTCCGCAATGTCCTCAACGCCGTCCCCAACGCCGACAAGCTCATAATTCTAGGTGTCTTTAATGCAAAAACTGGACGTGACACCACCTCCAGGGGAAGGCGTGATTGGGAAACATGGAGTGGGCAACTGCAACAGTAACGGACTGTTGCTTCTCCAGGCCTGAACTGAACATGACCTTCTCATCACTAACACCGTTTTCTGCCTTCCCATCCGTAACAAGACGTCATGGATGCACCCTCGCTCAAAGCACTGGCATCTCATTGACTACGTCATTTTCAGGAAGATCTAGATAGAGAGACAGAAATTTCGTTTGTTTACCAAGGTTATGTGCGGCACGGAGTGCTGGACAGATCATCGTCTCATAGTCTCTAAACTTCAACTCGCAACTTCAGGATCAAACTCAGGATACGTCTTCAGGGTACTAAGGCTTTAAAACGTCTCAACGCTGGCAAGCTCAAGTTGCCTTCCACCTTTCAGTACTTTGCTGACACCCTGGAAGAACATCTGAACTCCACCGTATGGAAAGCCATAGGGGACCCCCAGGGTCAGGGTCTATATATTCTATAGTTTTAACCCTGGCCACCCATGATTTCTACCCTGACCGTCCACCCTGGCCTTCCCATGCTTGCATCCTGGACCTCCCAGGGTCAGGGTCTATGTAATCAATAGTTTTAACCCTGGCCACCCATGATGCACACCCTGGCCGTCCATCCTGGCATTCCCATGCTTGCATCCTGGACCTCCCAGGGTCAGAGTCTATGTAATCTATAGTTTTAACCCTGGCCACCCATGATGTACACCCTGGCATTCCACCCTGGCCTTCCCATGCTTGCATCCTGGACCTCCCAGGGTCAGGGTCTATATGATTTATAGCTTTAACCATGGCCACCCATGATGTACACCCTGGGCCTGGCCGTCCACCCTGGCCTTCCCATGCTTGCATCCTGGAACTCCCAGGGTTAGGGTCTTTTAACCCTGACCGTCCACCCTAGCCATCCCATGTTTACATATTTAACCCTGGCCGTCCACCCTAGCCTGGCCAATCCATGTTTCCAGCATGCCAATCCCATGCTAGCCTGGCTTGCGTACCCTTGCCGTTTACATCCTGGCATGCCCAGGCTAACCCTGGCCATGGCCAAGAGACCGGGTGACCTCGATCATTCCCAAGCTTCTACGAGACAACCGGCCAAGATTCCAAGAGAAAGAGATTTGGTCGGCCAAGATTCCAAGAGATAGAGATTTTCTAAGGACGCGGTTGTGGAGGCAGCGTGGTCGTATGAATATTAGGAGGCATCGTTGTCATTATACATTTTATGTACGTATATATCAATAGTATTCTTTGGTATTTAACATACACATAACAATAATTCTTTTTATTTGATGTAAATTATACATGAATACAGTTTTTGCAGTTATTTTACTTTCTCCTTAAACTGATCTGAGCCAGTCTCTCCTGATCGAGGAAATTCGAATGAAATTTTCATTTTGTATTGAACCTCAATTAACTTTCCATAACTCTGTTGATCTTGTTTTCCCTTCAAATTATTTTTCATATCAATAGATTTATAAAATATGATAGAGGCTATATAAGTTTATTTTTGGGGTGGAAGGGGGATCTCTTGAGATGCCAGATATTTTGAAATTCATAATTATGCCCTCCTTCGAAGGAGATAGGGCATATTGCTTTACTAGTCGGTCGGTCTGTTGGTCCATTTAGTTACCATTCATTTTCTTCACAACCGTTGCACACATTGATATGAAATTTGGTATACAGATTTATCAGCTGAATATGTAGGTCAAGTCCCCCCTCCAACAACTTTAATTTATATCAAGAGATGTTTGTAAAATACTTATGCCCCCCCCCCCCCCCCCCAATTGGAATTTTTCTAAGTCCAAAGGGCATAACTCTGACAAAAATGGTGCGATCGTACTCCAAACCAGAACATTCAACCTATGAAAGAATTTATCGGAAAACAGCACATTGTATATGGGACTTTATTGCTAATTTATTCTCTTAACTACCTCAACTAAGCTGCTGCATAATATTTAATTTTATCATTTTTTTTCTTTACTTTTTTCTCTTTAGTACAAGGTAACAGTGACTAGCTTGTACTGAACCATGAACAAAACTGCAGATCCATACAAGTTTAAGATTTGTTGTACATGTAGATCAATACTAGGTAGGTTTTCTTTTAAGTCAGTTGTAAAAGAAGAATTTCACATTCCTAAGAGTTATCTCCAGTTGTCGGCATGACTCATTTTCCCCACATGTTAATAATTTTAATCTTCAAACATTATCAGACAATTTCGATCTGCCAACTGTATTGCCAGAGTATGGGGCAATATGAAATTATTGTATTATTTGCAGATAATTTAAATGACTTATTCATGTATTTAAAAAATATTAACTGTTTATAGTATTTCAGATTATCGACACATGCTGACTGGAGTCTATGGGTATAGGAAACCATTTTGTAGTAATAAAAAATGTGCAGGTGAAAGTGGTACACTTCCTTTTATTGCAACTTTCTGGGCCTTTTTGACAAGCACAACCAATGGTCTACCTAGTAAAAGTTTCTTTGGCACCAAGGCAACCCTATTCCAATGTCAAGGTCAAAAATCAAAGGCCAGAACTGATGTCAGCTGGAAAGATACAACATTGTGCATTGGACTTGCAAGATAATTAATTAATGCACCAGTTTCATGTTCAAAGGTCAGTAATAAATAGACAACATGCATTGTATATTATATCTTTTTTATTAGGTAGGCCCAAGTGAGCTTTCTAAAATTAATTTTTGACATTCGGTAATGTTTATATATATTCAATGTGTTTTACTGAGCTTGTCAGAAAGCCTCGAAAAGTTGTGATTGACACTTAAATTAATTTATAAGCATTTCAAATTTTCAACTTGTCTATCTGCTTGCAATTTGTTTTCAGCTAAAGGGAAAACCAGGAATAATACATACTGGAAATACAGATATATTTTATGTTTTCCAATGTCAAGGTCAAAGGTCAGAACTGATGTCAGTGACAGTTGGAAAGATACCAGATTGAGGATTGAATTTGCCAGCTGGATAATAAATGAATGCACCAGTTTCAGGTTCAAAGGTCAGTGGCTCCAAAGTTTTAGGATACAGAGAACTACTTCATTTTCTAATTTTTATGGCCCTGTAATCGAAGATTTGGGGGTTTTTAGTTTTCGTTGTTTCTGTCTGTCTGTTAGTCTGTCTAGCTGTTTGGTTGTTTGCAAAAACTTTATTATTGCCTAAAACTTTTGATTTAGCGGAGCTCTGAATTTCATGTTCCGTACGTGTAAATCTTCTGACAAGACCTTTTTTGGTAACACCAAATTCGACTTTTTGACATTGAACTTTGTTTGACACACTTTTACACAAATTTCCAAACTTTTACTTTGGCCATCACTTTTGAACAGTACAGTGTATATGCTTGGACTTTCATACTTCATATATATATTCTTTGTGACAAGACCTTCTACTGGATACCAACAACTTTGACCTTTCGACCTTGACCTTGGAAATTTTCATACTTTTGAAAAACTTTTACAATGGCCATAATTATTAAATAGTAATAAGGGCTAGGGATTTCATTTTCCATATATGTAATCCTTGTGACAAGACCTTTCTTTTAAAAAACAACAATTTTAAGCATTTGACTTGACCCTGTAGTTTAACCTTTGCCAAAACTTCTTAACGGGTGGTGCTAGGGATGTCATAATAAAATTGTATTTTTTGTGAGAAGACCTTACTTTGGGTACCAACATATTTAATTTGCATTTAAGAAAAGTTTAAGGTAGGTCAGTACTTTCAAAATTGTGTGTAAAAGCTTTGTTTTATTTTAAAACCTTAAATTAGTCATAAACACCAATAAAAACATATCTTTGCAGATTAATTTTAATACAAAATATCTCAAAAGTAGAGATCTTTAAAGAACATAAAGAAGTTTGATATTATGTTTTATTTCGCTATGCACCAAATCACGTCAAATGTTAAAACTTATGAAAATCAAAATATTCATTTGCCAAGAGAATATTTGAAATATTTATTGGAAAACATGAACAAATTGATGTTGGATCTGTCCACCTTTTTCAGAAAAACAAGATGTGTTTGTGAAACACTGATGCCCCTGTACGACAACATAGCAATTATTAAACTTTTCTTAAATGCAATTTTAATATATTGGTACCCAAAGTAGGGTATACTCACTAGAAATACAATTGTGAAATATGAAAGAAGGCCAAGTATAAAATCTTTTTCGTAAGTACATAAGTCTTCAAGGTCAAGTTCAAGTTAATTGGTATCCAATGAAAGGTCTTCCCACAAATAATACATATGTGAAGTATGGAAGCCCTAGCCCTAACCTTAACCCTTCAAAAGTTATGGCCAAGGTAAAAACTTTTTAAAAAGTTGGTCAAACTCCAAGGTCAAGGTCAAAGGATCAAAATTCTTGATGTCAAATGAAGGGTCTTGTCACAAGGATTAAGTATATAAAATGTGAAAGCACTAGCGTTAGGCTTCACCCTTTAAAAGTTATGGTCAAGGTATGCTTTTTAAGAGAAGGTCACACACTTCAAAGTCAAAGGGTCAAAGATCATGGTATCTAATAAAGAGTCTTCTCACAATGATTACATATGTGAAGTATGAAAGCACTAGCCCTTACCATTCAAAAGATATGGCCAATGTTAAAGTTTTTTCATTAGTATCAAATGAAAGGTCTTTCCAAAAAGAATACATATATGAAATATAAAAGTACTTGTATCTACTGTTCTAAAGATATTACCAACGTAAAAGTTTGGAATTTCTGTGTAACAGTGGGTCAAACTAAAAGGTCAAGGTGAGAGGTCAAATTTGGTGGTACCTATAGAAAGGTCTTGTCACAAGAAATACATTTGTGAAATATGAAAGTCATAGCTCCACAAAATCAAAAGTTATGGGCAAGGTTCAAGTTCTTGCAGACAAACAGTCAGACAGAAAGACACGACAAAAACTATATACCCCCCAAATTTTGTATATATGGGCATAAAAAACCCAAATATCTTTACATTTAATAATTCTTAAAATCTAAACTGTTTATATGCCATATTTTCTTTTAAACTATTAAGAATTGTATCTAAGGTTAACAAAAACACACACTTTATCATGGTTGACCTGATGAATTTATCAAAACAGCCTTTTGAACACGTATACCCCTATTTTTGGAATATCCATTTTTTTCAATAATTTTATGCAGCAATCAAAAAAAAGTCAAATTTATAAAGATATTATAGGCTTCAAATGGTCAATAAAGGCAATTAAGAATTTTGTGTATAATATGCTAAATAACAGATCCTATGGACAGAGTGCAAAGTGTTAATTCCCATCTAGATAATGTATATTATTAAAATGCTTTGTATGCACAATGACACTATAATAAACAAAGAGATACTTGCTAATTATTTTCAATCATCCGAAAAGATTCAATAAGTCATAATCAGAATTATATATTGGTGTGGAAAATTAAAACCGGATCCGTAAAAGTATGGTCCTCCTTTAATCTTCGCTATGTTGCCATACAGGGCATGATCAGCATCAGTGTTTCATGAACACATCTTGTATTATTAGGTCACCTGAGTAGACTAATGCATCTGTTTGCGTCCATCATGTGTTGTGTGTTAACATTCAGCTTCTTTTCTGCAACCACTGAATCAATTTCAACCAAATTTTGCATATAGCATCTATGGATGAAGGGGAACAAAAATTATGAATTCAATGGTCCCTGATCTACCTCTAGGTATTAAATATGCTATGTGTATAGTTATGATAAGCAATGGTGCCTGTTTCAAAATTGTGAATTTCATGGCCTTTGGTTTAAAACATGAATCAAATTCAATTGTTTGAAAGTTTTTAGATGATACTCAGGTGACCTATAAGTTGTTACATGATACTCAGGTGAACTTTAAGGCCTGTGGGCCTCTTGTTTAATATAATGTTGCACAATGATAATTTACAAGTTCTTTTTGATAATACATCTTTAATTGTCATGAATTGTTTTTTTCTTGAAAGTCATCAAGGCCAAGATCAACTCCATAAAATGGTGAATATTTCATCAAACTTAACTTATACCAATAACTGAATCCAGAAGAGGACACTCTTGATGGGTATAATGTAACACAGGGCTTCACACGTCAGGTATAGTTTTCTAATTTCAAGTTCAGAAATTCGTAAAGATTAATTGACCTTAAATTTGAAATCTGACAGCATGGAAAAACATTAAAAAAAGATCAAATATTTTTAGAAAAGAAAAGTTTAAGATGTTTTTAATTAATTTTTCTATAAATTTCAAAATATGTACTGAAATCAAATGGGGTAACAGATTTTGCAATGTGAACTGAAATGGAGTAAAATTACTTTTCAGATTTTTGCAGTAAAGGATGCCTTTACCAGTTGAAGAAGCTCAGGTTATCTATTGATAGTGTTTTGTGTTTTGCCTACAGAGATAATGACATTATATAAAAAGAAATCTTTATTGTATTTCAAAGAATTTCATTCTCAGCTCACATGAGCTGTAAGCTCAAGAGAGTTTTTTTCTGATTAAAAAATTAATATTCACTGTAAAGCATCTGTTTGTCTGTAAATTTTTTCAGTCTTCTTCTGAGCCACTGGTTTTATTTTTAACAAAGCGTCTTTGGAATCAAAACTGAACCATACCAGCAACTCAGTTTTGAAATCCGTTTTAATGAAGTGAAAATGTAGGTAAATATCAGCACCTGTAACATGCATCGGAACTGCATTTTGGTCTGATGGCTTAATTATGAAGATAGAAAAAGTATTATTCATGCTTGACCTTTCATCTACAGTCATTACTTTAAAGAATTTGTCTCTATTCAACCTTGTTGCAGGGGTGTAATATTTAGAATGAAGAGCATCTTCTGGTGAAGATGCACCATATATGGTGCACCTTAATCTTATCAGCATGCTCAATTTGCAAATTATTTTACACTAAACAAATAATTATAAGTCAGCATAATTGATGTAGCATTAGCAAGTTCACAATAGTAATGATGATGTAACCGGCCCTTAGAAGGTGGGGGAGACCCTTTTTCTAGTATAGTACTTTTAAGATGTTGGGTCCCTTCCCTGTCCACCTCATACGGATGCGTCAACAAACAGCCAATTTCAGGATTTAGATGGTTAATTATACCCCCGCAAAAGAAGTTTGGTGGTGGTGGTGATGGGGGGTTATGTAGGAATCAGCTTGTCCGTCCGTCTAGTTAACGTCAGTCCATCTGTCTGTGCAAACATGTCCGGTCCATATCTTTCTTACGGAGGATCATTAGAATTTACTACTTCACTCAGAAAATGCTCATGACCTAAGGGTTTGTCATGACCTTGATGCAAGGTTATCTGTGCAAGGTCAAGGTCACTGAAAATAAAATGTTCATAATTCAAGTTTGGCTCATATCTTTCTTATGACTTGGTAAGTTCCTATCTCACACAAAGATTCCTCATGGCCTAAGGGTGTGTCTTGACCGTAACCCAAGGTCATTTGTGCAAGTTTATTGTCACTGAAAGAAAAAAGTTTATAATTTGTGCTTGGTCCATATCTTTCTTATGGATACTCATTTACACAAAGATTGCTTATGACCTGAGGGTGAGTCGTGACTTGGACCCAAGGTCATTTGTTTATACGTAAGTTCAAGGACACAGTCAGAAAAAAAATTCATAATAGATGTCTCCTCCATATCTGTCTTATGGATAAAGTTGTTGAGTTCTCATTTTACACAAAGACTGCTTATGACCTAAGGTTGTGTTATGACTTTGAACCAAGGTCATTATGCAAGTTCAGGGTCACTGACAGAAAAAGTTCATAATTCATGTTTGGTCTGTATCTTTAGTCTTCATTTTTTTGATTAGGCTGCACCTTTGTTTCATTCATAAAAAATGTATTGAGCAATTACATTTGCAATAAAAATTATTTTAACATATCTCTCTTCTCTTAAATCCATAAAATATTCAAGAATTGGCATCTCTGAAAAAACCAAGCTGGGAGGTTTATTTTGACCCTTTTGGACAGTCTAGTTTGTTTTTCTTTTGGTTGTCAATTTTTGGGGGTAAGCCCCCACCCCACCCCTACTTCAGGCCTATGTGATCTAACAGCATTGCTCAATCAGTCGAAGCAAAATTTTTTTATCAAATATGGGAGAATCCACAGCTCAAATTTGAATCCCTTTCCATTGTCTGTTTAGGCCATGCTATTATATAAATTCTTCAAATTCATTTGACTTTCTTCGCTCACAACTTTTGTTAATTATTCATAGGAGAGGACCCACGGGCCTTATTGGTCACCTGAGTAAAATACAGTCCTGAACAGAGATTATTCTCTAAGATTTAATGCAAATGTGGCGGCCAGCCAGGTTTGATCGCCGGTGGCCAGATAGCTCAGTTGGTGAGCACCTGACCGGAGTTTCAATGGGCCTGGGTTCGAATCCTAGTCTGGTCCGTTGCATTTTCTCCTTTCCCGTCACACATCAATGCAAAATAAAATAACAACAGAAAATATAATAAACTGAAATTATAACATCCAACAAACTTTTAAATTTATACCAAATTCAATTTATTTCACTAACAACATTTTCAAATTTTGTCTTTCCATTCAAATCAATAGGTAATTGCAGCACAATGATCATCCAAACGAATTTGACATTTACTCAAGTTATTCTAAGATGAAACTAGACATAAGTCCACAGGACACAAGTGCCCTCCCTAGGGTTCTACATTATTAATGCAATAAGAACATCTGTATTAGACTAGTATATGGAGATGATAATAACAAATACCTTGAATGGTTTGGATTCACGGAGTTTAATAAATACAATATATACGTATAGTACAATCATGTAAAGTAAAAGATCCCTGGGAAGGTCAAGGTAAAAGAATGGACAAAATTGATAAGTATTTAAAATTATCTAAAAATATATATATGTAACAGTTTCTTTGAAACTGTACTAAAAACAAATTAAAAACAAAGGTTCCAGGGGCCACATCGCTAAACTGAGCAACTGGCTATGTAAAACTAAAAGTAAAAATCAGTACAGTATTGAGAAGTTTAAGTATAAAAGTGGGTTCAAGGGAGGAAAGGTAGGTGGGTATCAATCTACACTTCCTACGGATACTTTTTATTAAATATGATACATAAATTACATATAAATGGCTTTGCTGCTTATAAGATGAAAAATTTATTGACATAGCCTTTATATTCCTTTGTATAACTATGGTCCACTTTTATGGCTCCTCTATTCTCCTGGATGGTCATGATTTGAAAAAACTTGAGTTGAATCTATACTACCCGAAGATGCTTCCATATAAATGTGAACAATCACAGCTTTGCTGTTCTTGAGAAGATTTTTCCAGAGGATGCTTCCTTATAACTATGACTAACCATGGCTTTGCTGTTCTTGAAAAAAAGAATTTTTAAGATTTTACTTTTGTATTCCTATGTTAAACTTTGATCCCCCATTGTAGTCCCATCTTTCCCCCGGCCCCCGGGGTCACTGATTTGAACAAAATTGAATCTACACTACCTGAGAATGCTTCTACATGAGTTTCATTTTTCATGGCCCATTGGTTCTTGAGAGGAAGAATTTTAAAGATTTTCCATATGTATTCTTATATTAAATACTGACTCCCCATTGTGGCCCCACCCTACCCCTAGGGGTCATGATTTAAACAAACTTGAATTTACACTACCCACATGAGTTTCATCTTACCTGGTCCAATGGTTCTGAAGAACAAGATTTTTTTAAAAAAATTCATATATATTCCTATGCAAAATTTTCATCAGCCATTGTGGCCCCTCCCGACCCCTGGGGGTCATGATTTGAACAAATTTAAATCTACACTACCTGAGGATGCTTCCACATGAGTTTCATCTTTCCTGGTCCCGTGGTTCTGGAGAAGAAAATTTTTGAAAGATGTCATTGATTTTTCATTAATTCATAATTATTTCCCCTTGGAAGAGGGCTTGGCCCTTCATTTGAACAAACTTAAATCCCCTCCACCCAAGGATACTTTCTGGCAAGTTGGGTTGAAATTGGCCCAGCGGTTCTTGAGTTGAAGATGAAAATGTTAATAGTTTACAACAACGACAGACAAGGGACAAATTTTGATCAGAAAAGCTCACTTGAGCCTTCGGCTCAGGTGAGCTAAAAAGGTGAAAATTAAAAGAAATGTTGAAGCACTTGAATCACTCTCATCAATATGTATCGGTATGAAATGCAGATAGTCAAACATGTAGATACTGTATGCCTCAGCCATATTCATGGACGGGCATAAAAATTTAAGTGAATTCTACAGGCTAAAAGTCATTATTGCATTGCACCAAGCACCCATCTACGTCCATATAATATCCACAGGAAATGAAATCCTCGGCATGAATATTAAGCATCCAGGCTTCCACATCAATCCTGTAAAAATCAAAAATCATCTTTGTCAGTTTAATTAGCATTTCAAATTCAAATGAAAGCTTAAAGATATTTTAAATCAAAATATAAAAATTTAGTCTAATTTTTCAATTTTTTTGTTAGATAAAAAATAACTCAAAATAGGTAATACTGTTTGCATTAATAAGCTACACTTGTTATAACCCATTATGACTGAAAAAAAATCAAAAATTGAAAATAAAAAAATCTCAAATCTAAAAATCAATAATACAAAATAGGTGAAAAAAGTTTTGTCCAGGTGCAATATAATGAAGTTGTCATTTTAAATATTGCTGATCTTTGAACTTGAAACCGATGCATTCATTTATTATCCAGCTTGCAAATCCAATCCACAATGTGGTATCTTTCCAGCTGACATCAGTTCTGACCTTTGATCACTGACCTTGACATTGGATAACAGAAAGTATATCTGTATTTCCAGCATTAGTCAAAACAAATTGTAAGCAGGTAGACAAGTTGAAAATTTGAAATTCTTATAAATTAATTTAAGTGTCATTCACATTGTAACGTGAAGCGGTCACCCATCCAAGGGTTAAACAGGCTCGCCGTTGCTTAACTTGCCTGAAATAGAGGGAGACTCTACCGCATCACCAGAAAAGCTAGCTCACTAGCGAGGCAGTATAAGTTCCCTATATACTGTCCGCTACAACATCTTCTCGGGGCTTTCCGACAAACTCAGAAAAACACAATGAATGTATAAACATTACCGAATGTCAAAAATAATTTTAAAAAGCTCATTTGGGCCTACCTAACAAAAAAAAAGTAATATACAATGCAAGTTGTCTATCTATTACTGACCTTTGAACTTGGAACTGGTGCATTAATTAATTATCTTGCAAGTCCAATACACAATGTTGTATCTTTCCAGCTGACATCAGTTCTGGCCCTTGATTTTTGACCTTGACATTGGAATAGGGTTGCCTTGGTGCCAAAGAAACCTATACCAGGTAGACCATGGGTTGTGCTTGTCAAAAAGGCCCTAAAAGTTGCAATAGAAGGAAGTGTACCACTTTAACCTGCACATTCTTTATTACTACAAAATGGTTTCCCATACCCATAGACTCCAGTCAGCATGTGTCAATCTGAAATACTATAAACAGTTAATATTTTTAAATAC